AAAGTCATTGGAATTTTTTTGGATCTCGCCAAGGCGTTTGACACTGTTTCTACCTGCATTCTAATAGAAAAGTTGGAATTATGTGGTATTAGAGGAAAGCAACTTGCTCTATTTAAAGATTATCTCTGTAATAGAACATAGTGCACTAAAATCGGAGATTACATTAGTCACGAGGTTTTATTTTCCTACGGTGTGCCCCAAGGCAGCATTCTAGGTCCCACATTATTTCTCGTCTATATAAACGATCTCACTTCTATTCAGCTGCCTTATGGACATATAATATCATATGCTGATGACACATGCCTTCTTTTTTCTACAAATTCCTGGGAAGCTGTTCAAGATGCTGCGCAGATGGGACTTAATTTGATAAATGAATGGTTGAAAACTAATTTTCTTACCTTAAATTCTGAAAAAACCAAATACATTGCTTTCACAAAGAACGCCTTGATCATATTATCAATAAACCTCTGATCTCACACAAATGTCTCTCAAATATTAATATTAAATCATATAAATGTAACAAAATAGAATTAGTCCATAACATTAAGTATCTTGGTGTAATAATAGATTCCAACCTTTCTTTTAAAAATCATATCGAAGTATTATCCAATAGACTATCTAAATTAATATACATATTCAAAAATGTACGCCATGTGCTAGATAAAACAACTTTAACACGTATCTACTATGCCCTAGCGCAAAGCCTTCTTACTTATTGCATCACCTCCTGGGGCGGTGCGCCTAAAACAATTATGAAGCGCGTAGAAATACAAATACACAAAGGGCCATTTTAAAAGTTTGCGGGTTCTTCTCTTATAGACATCCAACTGAACTTCTTTATCGATACTGGCAGATACTAACGGTACGTCAGCTGTTTATTCTCTATACATTGTTGAAGCAACACAGTGGAAATACCTATGATCCCCATAAATTTGTAGGAGTTAGACGTAAAAATACAGTTTGCGCAACATTTGCAACAAAGAAGACATATACAAAAAAATTCTTTTGCTACTTGGGTGGATTCTCATACATTAAAATAAATGAAAAATTATCTATATATTCTAACAATAAATATGATTGCAGAAAATAAGTACATGACTGGTTACTGAAATTAGATTATGATTTAACGGAATCGCTCCTATCAAGATAAATATAATGTACACACACACACACATGCGCGGGCGCGCACATACAATACACTACACTAATATAAATATATAACACCATACATACATACATATATGTATTTACACATTTGATATCCTAATACACTCTTAATTAGTATTTATCCTGGATCTTCGTTGTAATTGTATTTCATTACAATATAAGAATAACTTTTTTTTATCTATCTATCTATTGTATTCCTAGAATAATTTCATACAATGTCATAGCATTCGAGGGGTGAGAACCTGGTGACTTGTACTACAGGCTTATATATGCCTACTTCAGGCACCAGCTTCTCACATAATAAAATTCTGTTTATGTACTACTAGATTTACATTGTTTTACTTTATGTTATGTGAGAAGATAAATAAAGACTTTATTATAATTATTATTATTATACTTTGCCATTAGTTATTTAATTTTTAAACAGATAGAACTTTGTATATAAGGCATAATAATATTCTCCATGGTCCCAGAAGGGTCTCCAAAGGTACAATGCAGGGGACTACATAATCTCCATTTTTGTACAATATATATACTAGTCAAATTCATAATTTTATAAATATAGAAGGTGTAAATATTTTACAATTTGCGGATGATCTTGTAATATATTGTACAGACCATAATGTAGATAGAGCTGTAAATAGTATAAATAATGCTTTAGATCAATTGTACATATATTTTAATGAAAAGTTGGCTCTACAGATTAACCCCAACAAAAGCAAGGCCATGATTTTTAGTAAAAATTTTCCCTCTAATGGCATACTCTAAAATAATCATCCAATTTCAGTTGTATCTAACCATAAATTCTTGGGTGTCATTGATAACAAACTTTGTTTTGATTTGCACATCAATCACATTATAACTAACTCTCTTTAGGGCTTAAATATTATAAGATGTTTAGTTGGTGTGACTTGGGGTGCAGACCCCAAAGTTTTAAGTATGCTATATAAATCTTTAGTCAGAGGCCACTTCGACTACAGTTGTTTAGCCTACTCAAATAGTAGTTGTGTAAAAAAACTAGACATAATTCAAAACAAAGCTTTGCGAATTATTTCTGGGGCTATGTGTTCAACTCCCATATGAGCTATGGAAGTTGAAACCAAAATAATAACACTGTGTCTTAGAAGACTTCTGCTAATAGAGAGATATTTACTAAAGCTGTTATCTGGTAATGATAATGTTCTCAAAAAAATAGTACCTTTTCCTGTACAATGCTCGGCCCAGCAGACTTCGGGAGGTGAACTTTTACGAGGTTATTTCCCAGTTCTGCCTCTCATTGTATTTGCATCATTGTATTGCTTGTCATTGTACAGCAAACGAATGAAGATTTTAAAAATGTAATTAAACAATCAAAGTGGACATGCTACACATACCCATATTTCTGTATTATATTTGAGACCAATATTGTTACCAAAATTTTTTTTAATAATTGTGAATTTAAGTAAGTTTTCCTTACGACAATAACTACTATACTTTGTATACAGATGGTAGCAAAAGTGAGCTCTTTGTGCGCATTGCTGTTTATAATCCCCAATCCAAGTTTGGTCAAAGTTTTCTTCTGGACCCTAAATGCAGTGTTTTCACTGCAGAGGTATATATGCGGCCCTCGATGCCCTGAAGAGGATTCCACATATAAGTTTTAAGAATTTTTTAATTTGAACATACAGTTTAAGTATGGTCCAAAGTTTAACCAATCTCAGATTTGACTTTAAAAAAAAAACTATATTTTGTATAATATTAAAAAATTGTTATTTAGTTATGCACAAAAGGGTATACAGGTCTCTTTCATGTGGATTCCATCACATAGGGGCATAACAGGAAATGAGATAGCAGATAAAATTGCATGTGATGGAACCAACATGTTGGATGTTAGCTCCTTAGTAAAAGTACCTTTGACTGACTGTTATCAATCTATTGACAACCAGGTCAATAGTTTATGGGTCGAATTTTGGAAACCAGATCAAGAACAGAAGGGTAAATGGTATAGAACTGTTCAAGAAAACCAACCTGTAGCACCATTTTTTTTATAGGATAGGGTAACAAACGAGCACACAGTCCACCTGATGGTAAGTGGTTACGGTGGCCCATAGACATCTACATTTATGCTCGTTTGCGAATCAAAATGCAGATGCGTTGTCACCCGTGAGGACTAAGATAGAATGCCTCCTTTCCAGTATAATGGGTCTCCGGTTGTCTACACTCACCATACGAAACACAGCAGCATGAAGCTGCTATTTGACGCTGGTATTCTGTGAGAGCGTGGTCCTTCCCCGGTCGAGCCAACCCATTCGTGCTACAACTATAGTACTAATATAGCTGCAGCATGGCTCTACCACGTATAACAAACTGAAAATGGCCAGTCGGGACTTTATTATGATTATAAACAGACTGCGTTTTGGTCACTCCACCGTCCCGGCCCACCTGGCTCGGTTGGGCATAGTGAAGAGCAGCTACTGCACCTTCTGCAATAATTCTGTTGGTGATATCGAATATTTCATATTTACATTCCTTGGTTATAAAAAGATACTCTGTGATTTACATGTGAGTGCTTTTCATTTGACAGATTGATTCTTGTCAGTGAAATTAGTGACATAGTGCAAAATCAAGTGACAGTGCAAGATCCCTCCCGCCGCCTGAGTGATATGTTAAAAATAGATCCTTATTACGTTCCTCTATATAAATTCATCAAAAATACAGTGGGGGAAATTATAATAAACCGAATAAAAATACTCAAGACCTGGCCTAAAGGCCTAGATACCAGGCCGTAAGCTCCAAAAAAAAAACATTGTCATTTGTCATTTTGCGGCTAAGGGTGTCCACTTAAAAAATTTATCGATATTTATATTCGATGTAAAACATCGGATCCCAGCATCGATGTTTATCGATATATCGCTAGTAAACATCGATAGTTTTTCACTATCTAATACTTTCCACAAAAGTTTAATATTACCTTTTTCCAGTAATACGCGCAAAGTTTGTAGTCTTTAATTTTGTATGTGTGAATGTAGAATCAGAGATCAGAGAAGCAAGTAAAAGTCTTACATAAACTTGTTTTAGATAAACAATCAAAACAATTATTTAATTGCGTTACCACCGAACAGCAAAGACGACGCAAGAATAGTGAGTGAGTGAATGAGAGTAAATATAATGAACCTATAGAATCCACAAACTACATACATTAAGAGTGAATAGTCGATCAATCTGTCAGCATAGATTAGGTTATTAAGCTGGTCACCATGTTCCTGTATAGGACAGTTACTATACTCTTTGCTCGTCACTCACAGATGTCACCATCTTAATGAACTTTAATTAAAATTGAAGTCATCAAGTAGTGTTAAAATTATTTAGTTTTTTAATAGATACAACAAAAACTAAATAAAAATGGCAAATATTCGATGTTACTTTAAATAAATATATCGATATATCGAATACAATAAATATTTGTGAAAATATCGAATCATTCCGATATATCTTACGAAAAACATCGAATAAATTCGATATATCGAGGTTAAGTGAATATCCTTATGTGCGGCCGTGCCATGCTGAGTTGCTGCTTCACTGCTTTGTCAAAATCAAATTTAGCGAACTGAATTTTTCCACGTAACGTACAATAAAATCGTGTGTTTTATAGCGTTATCGTGTGGAAATAGTAATCTGTACCAGTACCAACTGAGTTAGTTATGTAGAAAAATTGTTGATTCATTAATTGTAGTGTTAACTGAACCCTAAAAACCATCCGACCAGGTTATTTCCGAAATGCCAAGTATTCTTAATGTCATAGATTACCGGTCTTTGTGTATCAGGTAGCCTACAGTTTTTATTTCTCTTACAGAATGAAGCCGCTAGGCCTTCTTTTAGTTGTATTATTGGCTATTATCGGTGTTTATGGAGTGGATAGAAACAACTTCAAGTCTTGTGACCAATCAGGTTTTTGTAAACGGCTAAGGCCGTTTAAGCCCGAAAAGTCACAATACACTCTTAATTTGGATTCCGTCATTGTGCACGGAAATGTCCTGTCCGCAGAGGTTACCACTGTCAATACTGAAACTGAAAAGAAAATTACTCTTGTAAGTCTAAACATGTTGCTATTTTTTATTTATATTTTTGAACTCTAGCATGTCAGTTTACATGAAAGTTTAAACAGATTGTAAATTAAAAAGATGATAATTATTAACACAATAAGTAATAGTAATAAATGTAGAGTTTTTGTGTTTAATTATACACTAATAAAGTGATTTCTTATAAAGGTGCTATTAAAGACCTGCTAGGAGCCCAGCCTATGTGATTATTTTTATGAGGACTTCTTATAGCAAGTTTTACAAGGTCAAAGTGATAAATCTGATGTAGTTTTGTCACTATCGTAAAAATTAAGTGTAAAGTTGTAAGTAACCTGAATTGGGGGTGGTGGGGAGAAGGAAGGGTAGTAGTAGAGTCGCCCCCCACTTCCCCCCTGCCGGACGTGCTCAGTTTTTTTTTATAAATATCTTGTTTTGATGTTATGTTTTTGTAATTTTTTTGACAATATAAACTTGATTTATGGGGGAGGGTAGCACCAAGCCACTCAGAGCTTTGCGCGCTCACTCGATCCCGCCATCCCCTTCTAACCTAACCTGTTCGAGTCGGGGTGCCCTCTTGCACTCATTAAAACACCAAGATATTAACTTTTATAATTATTAATTAATAAACATAATTTCTAGCTGCCACTATTTATAAAATAGAACATTTGCGAAATTAGTGAAGTCATCGAAAAACAGGAGGAGCAGATAAAAAAGTTAGGGAGCACATTTACTTAAACTCGGAAGCAACAGAATGACGTAAAGTATATCTGTCACTGTCAACGACATGGCCAGTCTAGCGAATTTCTTATTCAGGCATTATATATATATTCCAGTTAAGCACTTTAGCAAACATCACGCGATAAATTCTGTAAAAATAGCTTTATTCAATAGCAAATTGTAAGCATGCCCCACCACTTAGCAGTGGAACGGAAAGTTTAAAACAGGATGACATGTCTCAAATATCTCTGCATGAAATTTTTTTTTTGCTGTGATAGTGATGTTTGCTAAAGTCCTTAACTGGAATATATATAATGTCTGAATAAGAAAGTTATAACATGTTGAATTATTTTAAATAAAATATAATATAGTGTGAGATTACTTTCATTTTTAAGACACTTAAACTATATACCAATAACTGTGTTCTAAAGTTAATTTCTATGATAGTGGCAAAACTACATCAGGTTTATCAGCTTTCTTCTTGCAAAACTTGCTTTAAGAAATCCCCATAAAAATAAACGAGCTGGGCAACTAGCAGGTCTTTAATAGCACCTATATAAGAAATCACTTTATGAGGGTATAATTCAACCCACAAAACTTCTTTATAACTATTATTTATTGTGTGGAAATTATTATCTTTGTTTTAATTTACAATCTGTTTAAATATATATAAAATATAATCTGATTTAAAATAAGTAAATTAAATGTGATAAAATCCATAAAATAGTTTTATTCAATGTGTAGTGTTTGCGTAAATATAAGAAATCAAAAGTTAGCTAATTAGGATGTTGGGAACCAGCTCAATGTGTGTTTGTCTTACATATTCTGCTATATTTCATGCTTAATACTGTTGAAGTAATACTTCTATGTTTTATTTGTCTTCACTGGCTTTTACTATATCTAATATTTTGTTTCAGTGGCGCTATGCCTTAAAATTATCAGCACTTGTTGATGGCACATTTAGAATAGAATTGGATGAAGCTGATCCCCTCTACCCACGTTACCGAACACAGCTAGCATTGAATGGTGAGCCAAAGGCTGATGGGTGAGTTATTTTAAATAAATCCAGCATTAAAGAAATCATCACTTGTACGGAATATAATACTATAAGTTGCATACTGATATTTCTGAATTCATATCTATAGAATTTCTACTGATATTTAGCTTTTTTTTTATTAATTATATATATTTACAATAATATCTAAACTAAATGATATAGTTTGCTTGACTTTTAGGATTTTTGTTAATCCATACTATTTTGAGATACAGTAGCATACTGATATCTCTGTATTCATATCTATAGAATTTCTACTGATATTTAGCATTTTTTTTATTGTATTTCTTTACAATAATATCTAAACTGAAGGATACAGTTTGCTTGACTTTTAGAATTTTTGTTAATCCATAATATTTTGTGTAATTATTATTTAACAGATTAAAACTGATCTCAAATGAGAATGGCAAACTTACGTTGTCGAACAACCAAGGTCAGAAAGTGCTGATCACTTCGGAGCCGCTCAAGTTTGAATTCCTTGACAAAAATGGTGATGTGGCCGTTGTGTTGAATGAGAACTCTCAACTTTTAGTTGAACCATTGAGGGTAAGGAAGGAGAGGACCGATGATGAGGATCCTGGGAATGCTGAAAATGCTATAGAAGTCGTGAGTGTTGCTTTTGTGTTGTCTATCTGTTTGAGCATTGTAATGCATCAATTTCTGCTTGGTTCCTGTTATATGTAAAAGTTAAAAGTACATGTAAGATTCGTGGTAATACAGGGGCTAAGCTCCTGCAAAATTTTGAAGTACAAAAGTAACCCGCTTTTGTTTCTTGCCAGCACCAATGAAATGTTAATTGCAATTACCTAGTCAGGTCATAAGTATTGTCACACAGTAAAAACTTTTCTTTTAGAATGCTGGCTACAAAAAAGTTTATTGAATTCGAATTTCGAATTGTTCATGAAAATAAAACTGTATACTTTTTAGAATTTTACTCATTTTTAAATATGGAGTGGACGCATAAAGAAGTCCGTGTTGCAGTTATTGCGTTGCATCGTTGCGGTTACGCGCCAATTCAAATTTTTGACATACTGAAAAATTTGAATATAACCAAAAGATTCGTTTATCGTACCATCAAACGATACAATGAAGACTCTAGTGTAGATGACAGGTCAAGAAGTGGTCGCCCTCGGTCTGTTAGGACTCCAGCAGTGATAAAAGCTGTGAAGGCGCGAATTCAAAGAAATCTCAAACGTAAGCAGAAACTGTTGGCCCTTCAGATGGGGTTAAGCAGAACCACGGTGAAAAGGGTGTTAAATGAAGATTTAGGGCTTCGGGCATATCGAAGAAAAACAGGACATCGTTTGAATTCTCGTCTAATAGACCTGAGACCGAAGAGATGCCGCGCTTTGTTGAAGCGGTACGCGGGAAAAAAATATCGGGAAATTCTTTTTTCGGATGAAAAAATTTTTACCGTAGAAGAGAGCTACAACAAAAATGATAAGTTGTACGCCACACAGTAGTGAAGAAGCGAGCTACCGTATTCCGCGTGTCCAACGAGGTCATTTTCCATCCTCGCTCATGGTATAGTTGGGAGTTTCTTATTGGGGCTTAACAGAGGTACATTTTTGTGAGAAAGGTGTAAAAACGAATGCAGTTGTGTATCAAAATACAGTCCTGACGAACCTTATGGAACCTGTTTCTCATACCATGTTCAATAACAGGCACTGGTTATTCCAACAAGATTCGGCGCCAGCTTGGCCAGCCAATTTGGAGTCACTCAAGACATCCTTGATTAAGGCAGCCGCTGATATTGACATGGACCTCGTTCGTGCTGCGATAGATGACTGGCCGCGCAGATTGAAGGCCTGTATTCAAAATCACAAAGGTCATTTTGAATAAACTTTAGTGTCATAAGAATCTATGTTTTGTTAAGTTAATTTTGGCATATAAATGGTTACATAATGAATAAACTTGTTTCAATTATTTTATATTAAACATGTGACAGAATTTATGACCTGATTAGGTATAAGTGTCGGTCTACCACATGCTACACGGTGACTCATTGTGAGCAACCCTGCACGACTGAGAAGTAAAAAGATGACACTAATTACAGTTAAAACAAATATATTATAACTGGGTAATGGCAGTTGAATTCCTCAATTTCCAGTTCTTAGAAATGAAAGGTGGTCTGTGCCCAGAAGTAAAAATAAGATATTATAAACTGTAACTTTCATTTTTTAAAGCCTTCTCACCGTATGTGTGGGAAAGAATCTTTTTTTGACAAACCTTCTTTTGTCATAAGAAGATTCACATGTATACATGGGAAAGAGGAGATGATAGAAGCATGATACAAGGGTGTACAGGGGTCCAACCTAAATGGAATTTGGATTGTGGCAGCTAGATTTAGAAAGGGAATGGGGTGTACGGATCAAGTCTTTTCCATGCTAATGATCTCGGAGAAGTTTTTGGCCAAAAACCAAAAAGCTTTTTGTGCATTCATGGACATGGAAAAGGCTTACGACAGAGTCGACAGAGATGTGTTGTGGCCAACACTGAACTCATTTCGATTGAGTGCTGGGTTGATACAGGCATTAAGGTCTCTTTATAGGGACTCCAGTGCTTGTGTCAGAAACAACAGGTGTACTCTGGTAGATATGGATATAGAACGATGAATGAATGCAGAAAATATAGTAATCTACACTCTATTGTGGGAAGTCAGAATATGCCAAAAAAGCATGTATGGCAATTCACAATTCTGTGTTAGTCTGCACCTATATGTATGGTAGTGAAAGTTGGGTGTGGCAGATGATGCGCTTATTATAACGAATGCAAATTTTCGGATACCACAAAGACATCATAACAAACAATCAAGTAGCAATCGATTAATTTAAAACTGCACGTGTCTTGTATTTTTGGTAGATTTTGTCGCATTTCCCATATTGGGTATCATAAAATTAAATCTGCGCGTCCTTGCTATTGTGTTGAAGTACATTTTAGCATTTTGACTGTATTTGACATGATAAAATCTACCAAAAATACAAGGGAGATGCATGCAATTTTAATTAAGGCAATCTCTAACATCTTTTCAACAGGATTAATGCTAGCAGCAAACAAGACCTATTTTAACACAAAACTCAAAGATTTACAGTTTTTTCTAAAATAAAATAGCATATAATATTTTTAACTACAAAAGGTTCACATAATACTTATTGAAAGTCAACTTTTTATTTACCACTGGTTTGGAAAATACTTCTGTCTATTATATCTGATTTTGTTTAAATTTCTAGCATGTAATCTAAGAGTGATAAACAAGCACACAGTTCACATGATGGTAAGTGGATGCTGTGGCCCATATACAACTTCATTTATTCTTGATCTCTAGTTCTCTACACTCACCATACGAAACACAGCAGCCTTAAGCTACTATATTCTGTGAGAGTATCGTCCTGCCCCTGTCGAGCCGACCCATTTGTGCTACAACTAATATAGCTGCAGCGTGACTCTACCACATACATAGAAATCTAATTAAGTATAAACTTCTTTGTTTAATTTATAATGGAATAACCACATTTAGAAACATATCCATTTTCTTTACAGTCTGTTGTTTTAAATAAAAAGAAAATTCAGAAACTATTTCTTCTTGAGCTAATTAATGAAAAAGAAAAAGTATTTAATACAAGAATTTGTTTAGAAAAGAAACAGTTTTTAGATGTAAAAGTACAAAATATTTTTTTTTATATATAGTATAGTTCACCTGATGGTACGTGGTTGCTGTGGACCATAGACATCTACATCTATCCTCGTTTGCGAATCAAAACAGAGATGCGTTGTCACCCGTGAGGACTAAGATGGAATGCCTCTTTTCCAGTAAAAAGGATCTCCAGATCTCTACACTCACCATACAAAACACGGTAGTGTTAACTGCCATTTTACGCTGGTATTCTGTGAGAGCGTGGTCCTTCCCCGGTCGAGCCGATCCATTCGTGCTACAACTATACTACTAATATAGCTGTAGTATGGCTCTACCACGTAAAAAGATCATATGATATCATAAACAGTCAAGCCTGTAACCCAGAGAAATAGGCAGACACTACAGCTTTCCATTTGGCACGTTTCTGACACGCCTCTCTGACACACCTATGCATACATGCTCGTCGCTTAAAGGTACTCTTTATCTGGCCCATCTTCAATATATCGCCAATTTGGTCGATAAACTTTCGTCATGGGCGCCCATTTCAGACTTTGTCGTTAACTTCTGCAACATAGATTTGCTTTGTCACTTTTTGCTCATTCATTTTTTCTACGTGACCAAACCAACACATTCCTTTCTTATTCCTGGTCACAATTTCATATGATTTGCTGTTATGTGTTCTAGTCAGTAGACAACTTCGGAATATATTAGAAAATTGTATGCAAAATTGGGCGAGGTAACTAACCTGCATTAGTAAAGTTGTATGCGGTGTGTGGTTAATGAGCTGATGAAGATTTTCTTAATTGGATCTATCGCATATAATTTTCACCATTGTATTGATATCTATATATATATATATATATATATATATATATATATATATATATACCATCTTATCGATCCTTTCGACTTCCCGCAAGATCAATGTCAATGATCTTTCATTTTATCTTACAACGTGACTGATAAAAAAAATTCAATATCTTGTTTTGTTAAATTCTGCACACGTATTTATTACTCAATTTCGATTTTATTCTTTATTACATAATGCTGTTCCCTATTACCAGATTGTGGGATTTGGGTTTGATATATTTGCATGAATTTTCCCCTACGCCAAAGAACGCATCATCAGTCAGCGGATATATCGCTAGTAGGTGAGGTTGGCACTTAAACAGGAAGTTAGTATATTTCCCCTTACAACGAGACAGCAATCTATCGAATTACTTAACAAAATTCAACAAAGTGTTATGGCTGCAGTACGAATGAGTCTGCTTGACCGGAGAAGGTAGTAGACCTCACTTTCTCAGAATACCAGCGTAAAATAAGAGTAATACTACTGTGTTTTGTATTGTTAGTGATTGTGATTCAAATCTAGGCAACTTTTTAATTGGATGCCATAGGCATTGCATTTTATAGTGACAATGCATCTCTACAGGTACGACTATATATTTTTAAATGAAATAATATAAGTTATATATATCAATAGCCCTTCCTTAAAACAATCTTAATAAGTGCCGGCAGACCTGTAACTATGACAGTCAGTATTACCATCGTTACTTTATAAATAATTCACTGCTTAAAATAGGTCTGTCCAGTTGTACAGCAAGCACGGCCTCAGAAACCGACCGTCTCACATCTTTTATTTTTCCCGTAGTCGGAATAACGGAGTTTTGTTGGCATCTATATGCAACCGTTTCTTGCATTCCTTTATTTAGAGATCTGTTACATTAACAGCAACATTATGGATTTGCTCCACCACCTCCTATATATTTATCTCTGTTTAGCCTAACCTAATGGCTGACGAGGTCGAAAGTGCGCCATAATTATGTACTATTTTTTTGCATAAAGGTTTTTAAATAAATAAATGGAGAGATAGATATTACTACGCATGCGGTGATTTTGATAGAATTACAAACGCAGGAAAATTCTACAAATACTGGGTCACCACTATTAACAGTAGATTAAATTAATTATTAAGAATCATGCTTCAAAATCAATGTTATACATAGTTATGCTGATGTTTGTTCTGTTTATCTAATCTATGTCATTATCACTTGTAATTACTTTTTAATTAATAGTCAACGTGAAGTCATCGGGTCGGATGCCTGTTGTTTATTGGTTGTTACATATTGATAGAGACAGCTTAGATATTGTGTTACTTAGACATTAATCCATAATGTTGCTTGTTTACTGTACCAAACTTTGTTGTGTAGAATTTATACATATATAACGACATTTATTCACTTAAATATCTTTCGGTTCAATGTAATTCGTTACGAAGAACCTTAACGTGGTTTAATTAAATGTTTCATATCTGTGCTAGGATTCTATAAGTGTCGTTATAAATAATTTATCACCTAATTATATGATTATAGATTTTAGATATAGGATAGTGGATATTTTTACAACGCTACTACACAAATAATGAGAAATGACTTATATTCTCATTATATGTTTGATGAAAGCCGTGGTAACTGAGCGCCCAACCACACGCTGTAAATTTCACAGTACATACGTGTGCAACCCTGGTTCGAACTCCGTCAACACGCATTGGGGCAGCGCGGCGGACATTTCCTTGTCCTAAAACTCTCTTAGAAATGTGTCCACTGCACAGGCATAGGAAGCCTGTGCCTGTTCAGTCGACATATTATAGACTGTAATTTTAACTTTTGTGTTGGTTAACTTACTGTTTTTCGAGAGTATGTATGTGTCTTATTTCTTTGGCACGCTCTGTAGCCCATTACGAGGGCGGCACTGAAAATTTCGGGAATCAAGGAAGTGACACAACATTACTATTTAAAAATGTATTTATTGCTTTTCGAAGTATTCTCCGCGAAATTTGACACATTTTTCTATACGATGGAACCAATCATTGAAACAACCATTCCATTCGGAAGTTGGGGTCTCCAAAATGGCCGTTTTGTAGGCGTCCACAGCTTCTTCAGGTGATGAAAATCTCTGTCCACGCAATTTATTCTTTATTTTAGGGAAAGTATGGAAATCATTAGGGCTTAGGTCGGGGCTGTACGGCGAATGGTCTAATAATTCTATGTTTTCGTGCTCTAAAAACTCGTTTGTTCTGTGTGCGGTGTGAGAACTCGCATTGTCGTGATGGAGGATGATGCGGCGGTTGCAGTTCTCTTTACGGAGTTCAGAAACGACCTGCGGCAAACAAATGCTAGCATACCATTCTGCATTAACCGTTCTTTGTCCCTCAAGAGGAATAGTCGTAACATGGCCGGTTTCGGAGACAAACGTGGCCACCATTTTTTTTGCAACACTCCGTGAACGAACAATTTTTGTTGGCTTTAACTCATTTTCGAACACCCAAACTCGTGACTGGTTTTTTGTTTCGGGTTCGTACGCGTATATCCAGGATTCGTCACCTGATACGATGTTGTATACAGCATTTGAGGATCCTGAGTGGAATTTTTCGAGAGTTCTGACGCACCAAGTAACGCGAGCCGCTTTTTGCTCTTCACAGAGCGAATGCGGTATCCATCGGGAAAACAACTTTTTTACACCTAATTGTTCATGCAAGATTATTTGTATTTGACTCATGCCAATGTCTAAAGTTGCATGAATTTCGCAGTATGTCACATGTCGATCTACCTCAATCAGCTTACGCACAGCATCAACGTTTTCTTGGATGACTGCAGTTTTTGGACGATCTTGACGGGGATCATCACTGAGCTTGACACGTCCACGTTGAAATTCAGCAAACCAGCGATAAATTGTGGTTTTAGATGGGGATTCATCACCAAATGCAGAAATCATCCGGTCAACACACTGTTTTTGTGTTAAACCACTTCGAAAGTCATAATAAATCATCGCTCTTGAATTTTCTCGAGTCAATTCCATTTTCTCAACGACTAAATAAGTTTGGCAAAACCTTGTGACAAGGCCGAGAATCTTTTTTGAAATAAATAAATGGTATTCGATTTTTAAAACCAAGCACTTTTCAATTAAAAAGATTTTAATATGACAGGAACAGTGGAAATATTCCATTCCCGATACTTTTAGTGCAGCCTATGTACACAGTAAGTTTTGCTGTCAGTTTTACAACAATCACGGTTATGATTGACGATTAACCTACCGTGTAATGCGGTGATTGACGGTTGCATGAAATCGATGGACAAATATCTGATTTTTACGTCAATCAACTATCAGTCACGAATTTTGATTGAACTTGTAATGGCATTTCGTAAATCACGCATCGTTGCTCCTAGCTTTTCTTTATTGCTTTTCGCATACATGTATCTTGTCTTTTTAGGTACGGTGTTATCAAGACTTATCAAATCAAACCTCTTTCATGCGAAAATAATTTGCATAGTCTTTATCCTCTTTCGAAACCCGTATGTCATGAGTTAAGTAACATATAAGTTAGCATTTCGTAAATCACGCATCGTTGCTCCTAGCTTTTCTTTATTGCTTTTCGCATACATGTATCTTGTCTTTTTAGGTACGGTGTTATCAAGACTTATCAAATCAAACCTCTTTCATGCGAAAATAATTTGCATAGTCTTTATCCTCTTTCGAAACCCGTATGTCATGAGTTAAGTAACATATAAGTTAATATGGGTATAGAAATCCCATTTTAAAAGCCAGGGAAGGACCACGCTCTCACAGAATACCAGCGTCAAATAGCAGCTTAACACTGTTGTGTTTCGTTTGGTGAGTGTAGAGAACCGGAGACCTTTTTTACTGAAAAAGAGGCATTTCATCTTAGTCCTCACGGGTGACAACGCCTCTGCATTTTGATTCACAAACGAGAATAAATGTCGATGTCTATGGGCCACAGCAACCACACACCATCACGTGGACTGTATGCTCGGTTGTCACCCTATCCTATATAAAAAAAAACTACATCTATCCTCGAATACAAATCAAAATGCAGATATGTTGTCATCCCTGAGGACTAAGATGGAATGCCTCGTATCCAGTAAAAGCCCACCGTTTTGGTCACGAATATTCTATAAAAAAAGGTTCTCCGGTTCTTTACACCCACCATACTAAACACAGCAGCATAAGCTGCTGTTTTCTAGTGACCAACTGATGGTGTTTTGGCTGGAAAACCATTCAAAAACACTGATCTCTAGTTTCACTGACTCACGGTAGCCTCATACGCCCACCCAGCGTAGTGAGGATGGCCAAATGTTATAAATAATATTTTCCAGCTCGCACGCCCTTAGAAAGCCGTATGTCGTCCAGCTTTAGGCTAAAAAAACAAGCTGATTATTTTTCTACTTTATATGTAAATTTAAATAATGTTTTTAGGAGGAAGAGGGTACTTGGAGCGAAAACTTCAAGTCGCATCATGACAGCAAACCTCGCGGCAACGAAGCAGTCTCGGTGGACGTCACCTTCCCCGATGCAGACCAAGTGTATGGTAAGTAAACAAATTGATCTATTTATTGCTGTCATATTGGTCTTTGTGTACGGAGATCCTGTGATGCCTCTGACTACATCATCGACTACATTGATGATGTTCTCATTTTATTTATATTGAAGTCGATTGTACATTTTTTTTAATTTTACCGCTTGTTATGTAAACAGGCTATAATAGTGGCGATGACAATATTCACATTTTTCATTTAAATATAAGAAATAAAATCACCTTATTGTCTTTTATACTTCTTATTTCCTTATGCTTACAGGAAGTTTCATTATAAAATATGATGCTATTGTACAAACTCTTTATGTTGTACCCTCCCAATTGTTTCTATGTACATAGAATGTTAAATAAATAAATAAACTTTTTCTGTGTGCAGGTATCCCCGAACACACAGACAAATTCGCCCTGAGTACAACAACATCGGGAGAGCCTTACCGTATGTACAATTTGGATGTTTTCGAATATGAACTGGACAGCAGGATGGCTATCTACGGAGCGGTGCCTGTATTATATGCACATGGGTGAGTGTTACTCACAGAACTCTCTCGTGCTCTGAGGAATTGTTCGGATTAATCCCAGCCGCCAAATTTCACGAACGCACATCGCGGCAGAACTCCCGATACCATCCACGCCATCTGAATGATTGGCGGGCCACCACTGTGCGATTTAGAAGATGTTTTCTTCCTCGCACGACCTCCTTGTGGAATCGATTACCATCAGAGATTTTTCCGGACCGATACGACTTAGGGACCTTCAAGAAAAGAGCGTACTCCTTTTTAAAAGGCCGGCAACGCATCTGCGATTCCCCTGGTGTTGCAGTTGTTCATGGGCGGCGGTAGTCACTTACCATCAGGTGAGCCGCATGCTCGTTTGCCCCATCTCCTATAAAAAAAAACTGCTAATGAATGATTCCGTTTTTGAGCTCTTAAATACCTAAACCGTGTAGTGACGGTCTCATGGTAGTATGAGTAACTGAGGGCAACAAACCAGGTGTTGGGCAGTGGCGTCTTCCTAACAATAACTAATAATAACTAATAATAACTAAAAAAAATATGTTGCCAACCTGCCTGCCAAGTAGACGTGGGACGTGTACTCGGTTTGGATTCGGTACTCTGCGGATTCGGCCTTTTTTTTAGGGTTCGGCCGAGCACTGAGTATTAACGGCCGAGTACCGAGTAGTTTTACGGCCCTATGTGGGTCTAGTTTGTAAGGGAAATAACTGCAGGCCGCCAGCTACCGCGTTTTTTATAAAGCCGAGTACTCTGCCCAATCTAGGCAGAGTACCCGGTGGCCGAGTATTCGGCGAATCACTACTCGTTCCATGTCCACTGCCAAGCGTGACTTTGTTTAGAAATTATCTAAATTTAGCATCACAATAATAGTAAAATAAATTGATATAAGTCTTAAACTTATATCAATTTATTTGATTTACTTTAATTGATTTCATGTATAGTTTTAATGGCCTTTGTATCTTGTTGTACTATTAGATAAACATGTGCTCATATAGTTGTACAAGTATATATGTGGTAGTGGCACGCTGCATCAATATTATGGTTGTAGAATGAATGGGTCTGCTCTCACAGAATACCGGCATAAAATAGCAGCTTAAACTGTTTCATACGGTGAGTTTAGAGAACCAGAAACTACTTATATTTAATGTAGATGATTATAAGCCACAGCATCCATTTACCATCAGGTGGACTGTGTGCTCGATTACCTCCTTGTTCTATAAAGAACTTGTGATATGTCTCGTATGAACCTTTAAAGTAACAGTATTTTCCTTCACCACCGAGGGCCTTTTTTACTTAATTCAAGACATTTTTTGCAACTAACAGCTGGAATTGCTATTGTTATGATTAATTAAAAAAATAACAAAAATATAAATTGCAGGTCGAAACGCACTGTTGGTGTGTTCTGGCACAACTCGGCAGAGACATGGGTAGATGTAGTCAACTATGCAGATGGCACAGTTGTATCCTCTCTGGTCAACTTGGTGACCGGCGGACAGAAGAGGCGTGTCGATGCAAGGTTGGTTCAATTTTATAATGATGAGTGAACAAAAAAAAACCAAATCAAAACCCTTTTTTTACAGGCGTTTCATCTTAGTCCTCAAGGGTGACAATATATTTGCATTTTGATTCTTGATTGTGGTTAGATTTAGGTGTCTATCTATGGGCCACAGCAGCCACTCAAGACACGTGGAAAGAGATTCGTAGCATGCTATAAATAAAGATTGTTGTCAACTGTGCTGTTGATGTCTCAAATAATTGGTGCTCTTTGCAGCTTTTGCCTGTTTCTATAAAGAAACAAAAAGTTTTTTATAGACATGCTTTGCCTTCTTTGAATAAGACAAATTAACCGCTACAGTATGATTAGCAGCCTCCAATATATGCTTTTGTTTTTCTAAATAATGTAGTTTCTATGTACTGTTATGTAATAATAATCAATGTTTTCTCTCTTTCCCTCACTAGGTTCATGAGTGAATCGGGTATAGTGGATCTATTTGTGATGTTAGGAAACACTCCGGCTGATGTTTTCAGGCAATACACAACACTTACCGGTGTAGCTCCTTTACCACCCGTAAGTATGATGACCATTCCCAAATCTGGTTCCTAGCTAAATGATACCTTCTAAATAACTATCAGTAACAGATATATAAACATAAAGATTAATTAAAAGACCAAAAAACGACTAAGTTCTTAAGTTATGAATCAGTATTTAACTGGTCATTCATATAGTTAAATAACTTGTGCATAATTGTGTTAACTATTTACTACAAACAGCATATCAAAAGTCGCGATAAACAGCTTATCAAATTGCCTCATAGGTGAAATGTTTGCCATAGTTGCCACGCGTGGGAAGCTGGTTGGCTACCGCACTTTTTTTTATTCAGCTGTTATCTGGGAGATGGTGCTGCTCATCTCCTGGTTGTTTCTCTCTGTCGCCTTTAACGACACACATGGGATAATATGGGGTAGTGGATATTTTTACACCGCCACCACTATTCAATGTTTACTGTTTATTTTTATTTAATAATTTGCATACTAATTGGGTTAAAATAAAATCAATAAGTTTATGCTATTTAGCAATTTATAATAAAGATTTTGAGGTAAGAAAATTTTTCGTTCACATAAGTTAAAGAATAGAATATTATAATTTTAAGAAAATATGTTTTACCATTTAATTAAAATGTATCATTCTATATTTTCACTCGACATGCTGAACTGTACCTTAACACTGTGTAAATGTATAAAATTTGTTTGCGTTTTATACAGAAATTCTCTCTGGGATACCATCAATCCCGTTGGAACTACGTAGACGAAGCGGACGTCCGAAGCGTGGACGAGAACTTCGACGCACACGACATCCCCGCTGACGTCATCTGGCTAGACATCGAGTACACGGATAGGAAGAAGTGAGTGTTGCCATCTACATTTCTTCGTTATTTATTACAAATATGAATAGGTCCAATAAGCAATACAAATACAAATTGTAATGTGTACTACATTTCAAAACAATACTAATAATTGTTAACTGCAAGAGGCAATCCTGGATACAGTATCAGCCATGAAGCAAATACAAAGGGAGATGTTGTAATTAGATTTCACTATGTAACAACGTGTGATAATTAGCGAGGTGAGGGGATGTTAAGCCCCGCCCACTTTACACTATCTACATCTACCGATAAATAGTAAAACTACTCGAATCGTTCCATATCGATGTTGCTATGTAGTTTAGCTACCTTGACGATAGATGGCGGTCTGTTCACAAAATATTTTGGCGATTAAAATTTCTTTGTTGAATGCAAAACAAATTTCAGCACCTTTGTATGATTATTTTAGTTATTACCTTATATATTTTTAGTTATACCTTTATATTTTTAGTTATCATGACACAAAGTGTCGCGATCATCTAGTGTCGATTATATTTAATTATATTTGAAAGCCGACGCACAGAGTTTTTTCTAGAACTATTTTAATAAATTAGGTGTAAAATTACTTACAAATGAAATGTGATGCCATCCATAGCATCAGAACGTCTATCTGAGTAGTTTTTACACGATAAAACACAACACTTCATCCTTTTCTCTTTAATACTACGAAAATAAACCGATTTGCAATTTTCAACACATAAGTGCACAGGATGAATGTTGACAGTATACTAACTAAAGCCACGCCCACTATGATGACGTCAGGACCTACTTAGGATCACAGTGCACAGTTGCTTATGCCGTCTCCTCTTTGTATTTGCTTCAAGGTATCATTAATGGGATTGTGTAACCTTTGTGGGAATTACCATTGACTTTGATTTGATCTTTGGTATTGTAGTTATGTAGTATTGTGTAAATGTTTCAGTATTGGTTATTATTAACATATTTCTTTTTATATTTATATCTTATTTTCAATAGCGAAATGTTATCATAACAAACAAACAACACATTAAAATTTAATTCCGAACCGTATTAACAATTAACAATTTTATGCACAATACTTATAGATTAGTGCATTACAGGCATTCATATCAAGAGGTTGTTTAATTTATCATTCTAATATTATATCAACTATCATTAATGTTGGTTGTGACAAATGCAAAACGTCTCCACGATATTTAGTAAAAATTCCTAGTGTTGTTTAAAAAAAGGAATCTTTTAATTGTGTTGTGTGAAGTCTTCCAAATCTAGATTCCCTTATAGTTAAATGGATGATATTTTTACTGTGCTTATATTTAAGTAAATTTACATAATATAGTTACTTAACTAAAATGCAGGAATTAACGCTAATTTAATTTTATGCTTTTAATCATTGTCTACAATTGCACGCCTCACAATGTGAGGGAGTGCTCTACTCTCGATATGTGATCATACCTCAATTTCGCTACATAAAATAGATTTATACTTTTAGCTAGTTTAAATCCATATTATTAACGTTACAATAACGTTACAAAAACAGACATTGAATTATAAGATTAGTTTATTTTCTAATTGATTCACTTTAGATTACATAACAAAAAATGTACTTTAAAAAATATATGGACTGCCGTCCGTTGGTCTGTGCGCTGGTGAGTGTTCTCGCTTAGTAGAAATAAATGTAAGCAATAGATTGAGATATATAGTATTAAATAGGATTCCACAAGCCCTATGGAGGAACCCCTATTGATTTTTGTTATTGAACTCAACACTATTTAAAAGTTATTAAACGAAAGTCGATCAGATTCTCTTTTTTTTTTTCATGTAAAAGTTATCGTCACTATTTTTATTTTTTTCATCAAAATTAAATGAAACGCTCAAGAAGCCTGCACTTTTGGGTTTTCCAATTTTTTTTAAATTTACGATCAAAAAGCGCTCATCTATGTTTCCCTGATTTTCTTCCAAAGGTATTTCACATGGGACCTGGAAAAATTCGCTCACCCCGCCGAGATGGTGGCTAATCTTACAGCGAAGGGCAGACGCCTGGTGGTGATTATCGACCCCCATATAAAGAGGGAAGCAGGCTATTTCGTGCACGAGGACGCAATGGAGCAAGGACTCTACGTGAAGGACAAGGACGGAAATGTTTACGAAGGTATACTATTGAAGTTTGAATTGAAGAAACAGCAGTGTCGCACAGTCGTCAGATTATCTAGTACGTAGAGGGTTTCTAGTTTGAATCCCAGCAGCAATGTTTACAAACAAAATGATTTCATGTTTTATTAAATTATTACCGTGTTTAAAATGAATTTACAGCCCTAAATTGTATAAAATGCTACATCGATTTAAAAAGTCCTGCTAGGTTGCTAGTTAGTTCTTTCCAGAAAAGAGTTGAGAGTTGAGGTCTGAACGGGCACCAAGCTCTATAACAGATTCATGAACACAATGATTTCCTATGATTTAGGCAACTGCAACTTTTTTGACCACCCTGGACATTATTTGTACCAAATTTTGTATCCCCTATTCACCATTTATGTTTTTATTGTATCTTTCATGTTTGCTAGAAAAAGAAGTAATTTCATCATTATACATTGAAGGTATTCAATGATGATAAATAAACAATAATCTGAACTTTCCCAAAGGTTGGTGCTGGCCGGGTTCCTCCTCATACCTGGACTTCTTCAACCCAGCGGCGACCAAATACTATGCGGAGCGGTTCAGGTTCGAGAACTTCCCAGGCACCAGCAAGGATGTCCATATTTGGAACGACATGAACGAACCCAGTGTGAGTAGCTATTACAAATAATTTTCACATTGAAAAAGTCCAGCCAGGACATACAATAGTTCTAGAAAAATCTCTGCGTCGGCTTTCAAATATAATTAAATATTGTTACGAGCTTGGGGTTCGAGATAATTAAAAACTGCCTATTGAATTACCAAAAAAATTGAATTACTAAAAGAATCATTTTTTGAACAGGCCGCCGTCAGTCGTTAAGGTAGCTAAACTACATTGCAACATCGATATGGAACGATAGGAGTAGCCTTACTATTTATCCGTAGATAGAAAACAGTTAAGTGGGCGAGGTTTAATTGTCACGCGTTCTTACATAGTGAAATCTAATTACAACACCTCTTTGTATTTCTCCGTGCTTGACTGATTGATGTTTTAGATGTCTTACATTTATGATTTTGCTCTTTATTGTTCACTATAATTTGGAAAGCATGTGTATTCAGCTAACTATGGTATCCCACAAGTTTTTTTGACAATTCCTTGCCACAAACAATATTGATCTCCATTATTTTAAAATAATCTCTATATATAATAAATTAAAAAAAAACCGAAACAAAAAGAGATAGTGATCTTCAAACGGCTTCAAACGATTTTCTTGAAAGATAGTTAAGAACACTCGACTAAGCAACCTTTTAAACGAAAAAACTTAATCAAAATCGATTCATCCGTTCAGGAGCTATGATGCCACAGACAGGCACACAGATACACAGGCACACAGATACACAGGCACACAGGCAAGCAGACACACAGATACAGTCCGCGAGGCATAAGCTGAGTTTTGCATTTGTGTGAGTGAAAAAGGTAAGATGTAAGTGTGACTGAGAAGTCACAAAGATCAATAAATGAAATTCATATATAAAAAGAAAATTATAACAATTCTGCTTCACCGGACCTTGCATCTTCATCATTTTCATTATCACTTTCGTTTTCATTTTCACTCTCGTCTGATGTGTCGTTTTGTTAGTAATGAATCGTTCCATCATAACATCATGAACGGCGTCGTGACCATGAAACCTTTTTTCTTCTTTTATTGCGTGATCACGGCGTCGTGACCATGAAACCTTTTTTCTTCTTTTATTGTGTGATCACATACATTTTTCCATTCTTGGACAGTGATAGTGTCAACTTTTTCTTTCGCTAAACTCATTATTGTTTCCATATTCATTGACACTATTTTTTTTGACACATATTCTTTTATCATTGCCCATATATTTTCAACCGGGTTGAAATCCGCGTGGTACCCTACGCGTGGTAGACGAAAGACGCTGTGACCATGTTCTCTAAGTAAAGTATCAATTTTATATTCAATATATCTTTGTTTGTTTTGCAGTATCAATTGATAGAATTGTGGTTTAAGCATCGATGTAAAGTGATCAATATTGCGATACTAGAGCCAGTCAATCATGTCTTGTTGACGACTATTTGAGTTGGGAGCGGGATTTTGTCACGAATTGTGGTAAGATGCATTATCTACCACCACATTAGGTTTTACATTTGAAAGTAATTGCGTTTGTAACCATTTCGTGTAGTTTTCTGTATTCATATTGTTATGGTAATCACCACTTTTTTGATTTGCTTTGAACATCAGCAGTGCATTTGGTATGAAACCGTCCTCTTCGCCGGCATGAACTATTATTAAACGATTTCCTTTAGAAATTGGTTTCTTCAAACCAGAAGTGCTGCCGTCTGAATATTATTTCGAAAAAGTGTGAGTCGTGTCTCACACTTGTCGTGTCGGGGAAATTTAAAAAAAATTTATATATATATATATACGAATTTTTCTATTATTTTCTGTGCTTTTCCATTTAGATCCTAAAAGAGACACTTATTTACGCAATGACCGAATTGTACCTGGATAGCAAAGAGAATATAACCACTCTGGATAGTTTATTTCTGTCTTTAACTTTTCATCTATTCGCTTCATAGTTGGCACCTCTTTATCAGTAATGTGAAAGTTGTGAATAGTTCTTCGGATTATCGCTTTATCAAAATCGTCAATGATAACGATATTTTTCCTACATCTGGTCTTTTTCTGAGATTTAAATTTGCTTCCGTCTTCCATAAGACGTTTACCTTCCAATAAAACTCTTATGACAGTGGACAGCGAAATTCCCGTCGATGTCGCTACCAATTGGGCTGATGTAGTGACACTGACATGATATGTCTTTAAAATAACTATTTAAATTACACAAAATTTATTTTATTTGGCTTCGTTTATTCGTGTTGGCTAGCTGCCACTTTCACTAATAAATCGAACACAAAAACCAAATATTACGAATTTATACACGTATCAGTGCTACCAGTACAAGAGGTGAAGTGCGGAAGGTGCGCGGCGGAGATGTGTCGCGCGATGGACGCACCGAGCCTCAGGCTGATTACCAAAAAGCAGTATAAACCGGTTTAAATCAAGCAAAGGACGCGTCGTTCTATAGGCCGACGTCACACCAACACTATCTATGTGCACTCACACAAATTCAAAGCTCAGCTTAGGCCTCGCGGACTGTACACAGATACACACTACAAACATATAAAACCCCTATACGTTTTCGTCGGGGTCAATCAATCAATCAATTGCTGTCCGTTAGTCTCGCTAAAACTCAAAAACGACTCGACCTATTTTGATAAAATTGTGTGTGTGTGTGTTTGGGTCCCTAGATGGTTTAGATTCACATTTGAACCCGGTAGGTGGCGCTGTTGTCGAGATACAGAAATCATCCGTACGAAGTCGGGGCGTATCGCTAGTTACTTTATAAAAATTGTATTACAATTATTAGGTAAATAATACAATTAGAATTTGCTTATGGTAAAACAACTCTGATTTCCAATATCTTCATTAATGTAGCATTGCCTTATTTAATTTTTATTGTAATGGACTGTATGTATTTATTTATGTTAGGGTGATTACTGCTAGGGACGTTATTAAAGAAAAGGTGGTACACGTTACAATTATATATTAAACTATTTACAATGGCGGCAATTATGACTATTACTATATATACACAAGAAGGAATCTTCTAGGGGAGTCTTGATTGTCTTGATTCTTGAGTCTTCTTTCTTGATCGTTCTCAAATGCCGCTGTCGAATCAAACGAATCCGGAAGCCAAAAACCCTTTCTTATATTCCCGCGGCTGGTGTTCTGGCATGAGCGGGTTCTCACGCGGTGTGCTGAGCGCTCATTGGTCGGCGAGCTCACGTGATGTCCGGCCGGTGTGAGGGGTATGAGTGGGCAACGGGGCTCCCGAGCCGTCCGTAACATTTATATTTCAATTTTTAATTTTATTATATTCAATAATGTTCAATAGGTATTCAATGGGCCGGAGATCACTATGCCGAAGGACTGCCGACACTATAAACCTCCCCAGGATGGCCATGATGGACTTGCTTCTTTCTGGGAACACAGGTGAAACAATTTTACCGAATTTTCTATAAAATGTCTATTGCCTATTTAATAATACAGGATGGGGATTATATTATGCGTATGTTCCGATATACACTGTGACCACTATAAGGTGTGACGCCAATTCATACTGTGAAGCCGTTCCTTTATAGTTTGCTATACTGGTTACTGTTTCTTTTCTTTTCTTTTTTTGTAAATTATTATTTTAATGCATTTAAAACTTAATGTCCGAGTTTATTTGAATAACAATATTAATTAATAATAATAACAATCATTCGTGGAAATTGTTAGATATCTAGGCGCTGTTATGTCTTTTGATCACGCGATCAAAGTACTGACAGCACCTTACCTCGAAAGCACCAGTGCTCACAGGACAAAAATGGCGGCGATTTATGACGTCATATATTTCCCTAGGGTACTGCGGCCGTATACTGGCAGTCCATAATGGAACAAATTTTTCGCCAGTGAGAGCACTGAGCAGTGCTTGCAGTGTATATCGGAACATACTCTTCAACAAAATCTAGTCTGATTTTTTTTGAGATAGTCATATATTTGTAATTAACACAAATCTTTGAAAAATGCAAAATATACTTTAGTTATAAGTAACATTATGAAAGCAATAAGAGTAATGATTACAAAGTAACAACTATTAAAACGTCTCACCGAACTCGTGCTATCATGGGCGTAGTCAATTTTATTTTCATGAGGCAGATACCACATTGAACCACTACTGGTCTGAGTTAAAATTTTTCTTTTGAACAACCAAATTTTTAAGGGAATATCTAGTGCCCTGGTTTTGTATGGAGATGCGGTTTCTCTAATTTTCTCTTCTTGCTATGTATCAGGCAAACACTAAATCACACAAACACATTCTCAGACATGTGCACAACTAATGATATCTCATATTTCAGACACGTGCACAATGAATACGGACTGTGGCAGATTCGGGCGACTCATCTCGGAATGCTAGAGCGGTCCGACAACAAATACAGACCCTTCATACTGACCAGGTCCACCTTCGCAGGAACTCAGAGGCAAGTTTTAGGATTGTAACTTTTAAAAATTAAGTGATTTTTGGCAATTTAATGAAAATTTACGTTAAATGTATTTTTATTTTTATGAACAGTAAGATCATCCATCCATAACAACCTATCAAAGTCCACTACTGATCATACATAGGCCTTATCCAAATATCTCCTCATTATTAGACCTTATCCAAAGATATATGCAATAGTTTCTTATCAGTAAGATGTTGCTGCCCCTCCCCTGTTTCAGTTTCCCTTTGTCCTTAGACTTAAGAAATATTTTTTAAGATAGGTATGTACTTTATATGATATGAGATGTTTTATTTTATTGTGACATTTGGCTTATTTTTACAAAGAGTAGCCAAATTTTAAACTTAAATTCAAATATATAAATAGCTAGCTGTTCCTCGCGACTTCGCCCGCGTGTTATTTGGGGTTTTAATTTTTTTTGCGCCGAACCCTAATTCTTTTTCTAAAATAAAAGTAGCCTGAGTTACTCCTTGTGACATCAGCTATCTGCCAGTGAAAGTACCGTCAAAATCGGTCCAGCCGTTTCGAAGATTAGCCGGAACAAACAGACAGCCAGACAAAAACTTTAAAAATTGTATTTTTGTTATTAGTACCATATATACTTTCATATGCATTTAGTAAAAAGCAATGTAATTGTATGTAATTTTGACATTACAAACAGACACTTTAATTTTATTTATTTGTATAGATGACATACCGTTATTGCAGTTTTTAAAAATACGAGTAAATAAGGCTTCTATTTTTATTTGAAATTATCCCAAATTGAATGTGATTTATGGGCAACAACGTTTTTGCCTACCGATCGACCTTTACGAATGTGTGCGTGCGCAGTAAAATCAGTTAAAATAGTGCATTACCACGCATTCTGAATTTAAAAAATTAAAAGGATAAAATATAAAAAAGGATTTTTTTTTAAATTAATTTTTCTTCACCATTTGCCTATATTACTTATTCTGAACCTTATCTGCAAATTGGGCCGGTTATTGCAAAATAACCCTGTATGAATATTATGTTATTGCGTAATTTTTGGGAGATTTTCACAGCAACTTAAATTAACAGTCAGTTGATGACGATAATATCACAAGGCGCACATTCAGTCAAAACAATTTGAGGTATATATTAATATTGGAGTACTTGTTTTAGCGTTTCCACCGATGATTCTCAAGTGCAGATATTTTAAACACAAAATCGTATCACTTTTACGTATTAAAAACAAACTTCAAACCATTATTTAAACGATATCCGCCTTATGTCATACAAGTGGTACAATTAAAAATTTTATAATCATAATTATTTATTTGCATAGAATGTAGGTAGATATTACAAAAGTATTATTAAAGCATAAAAGTTCCGATACATTCTGCCTTGTCAAGGCGTGCAAATTTTGTCTGAATAGTTCTAAGTTTCAATACATTTTCTTTACAATAATTATTGTAGAATTTTAGTTTACTAATATAAATATGTCCTAATAGTACTAATAAAAATGTCCAATTAATAATAAAATAAATCTCAAAAGAATAACTACGAAATACAATCGTTTACAAAAATGTCAAAATATAAATGTTCACGTATAAAAACAGTAAAATCAACCAACCAATAATTATTCTATCGAAGTCTTATTTTATTTACTCACAGCAAAAAATTCAAGCAATTAAGATACAGATATTAAATATGTAATTTCTTTTGATTTTTATGATCAAGATACTTATTAACGGTATAAAAACAATTAAGTAAGAGCCATTCATGAAGTTTGCTTTTTAACTTTGTCAATTGGGAAATTTTTAAACTACCGACTAGTTCTATAAAGATAGGTGGACTGTCAGATTGTTTGTCACGTGTGTGGATTTAGGTATGCGGCGATGTGGACTGGCGACAATGCAGCGGAGTGGGGCTTCCTGCAGGCTTCGACGAGGATGTGCCTTTCCCTGGCCGCAGCTGGCATCAGCTTCTGCGGCTCCGACGTGGGCGGCTTCTTCAAGTACCCCGAGCCTGAACTCATGACGCGCTGGTACCAGGTACACGCACACGTACTCATAAACATGCACGAAAACATGCGTATACACATGTTAATATAGAGTTCAATAAAACAAACAAGAAGAGAGGAGATTTTTGAAAAAAAATGAAGTGACAAACGAAGTTATAGTGTTGCTAATGGTCATTGTTACTGCAGCCCATGGACACATGCTAACGCGCTGATAACAGGTACACGCACGCGCACACACACGTTCATATAGAGAGTTCAATTAATTAAACAAGAGAGATATTTTGAAAAAAAAACTAATTTATAGGCCACCTGATGCTAAGTTGTTACTGTAGCCTATGGACACATGCTGCCCATATCACGAAGAAAACTACAGACACACTGTACATATACACATGTGCTATAGCTTTGAAGACTAAGATGAAATGCTATGCAGCCTGTAATTATACTGGCTATTTGTATCTCTCAGAACAGCAATGCGAATATTGATGTTGGCGGTAGTAATGATTAATAGGGTGGAACCTACACAGATGGACTTCTAGACAGAAAAGCGCAGTCTTACTACCTAGGAAAATAATATTGGGATTTTAAAACACGCGTCATATTCAAGTACACGCTTATGTGAACTTGCTTTTTTAGAAATTTTTCCTAATATTCTCAGCCCGAAAATAATCCACTACTGGATACCGGCATCTTTAAAGCGTCTCTCACACAGAAGCGGCCGTGGTGGCGTTCAGTTGTATTCGCTTGCAATGTAAGAGTCTGCAAACCCGTGCGGTCCATGTCGCGGCTGTAAGCGGCTGGCCGCGACTGCCAAGGCATATGTGTTAGCGAGTACGCGGCCAGTCGGTGGCGCGGTCAGTTGCAAGTTTTTACAACAGGCCGCGTGTACCGCGTGAAAAATGGTGCTAAATTCAGAAATTGTAATAGAAACAGAGCAAAATTATCCAGTACTTTATGATAATTCACATCGTGATTAAAAGACATTAGTATTAAAAACAAAATATATGATAATATTGCTGAATATAATAAGACTTCATCATGGTTAACCATGTTCACTGACATCTAATCGTAGCACAGACACCACACGAATGGCGCCGCAGGCCACCGTTGCGACTCCGGTGGTGTGTTGATGCAGCGGCTGGAGCCGCTTGTGTGTGGGAGACCGTTAACAGTACTTATCCGGCTCGAAGGATGAGATGTTTCTTCTTAGATAGTTAGGGGTAGCATGGTAGACATCTGTTCCAAAACAGTTTTTTTTATATATATAGAATATGGGTGACAAACAAGCACACACTCCACCTGATGATAAGTGGTTGCTGTGGCCCATAGACATCTGCATCTATCTTCATTTGCGAATTAAAATGCAGATGCGTTGTCAGCCGTGAGGACTAAGATGGAGTGCCTCTTTTCCAGTAAAAAGGGTCTCCGGTTCTCTACACTCACTATACGAAACACAGCAGCAGCGTTAAACTGTTATTTTTCGCTGGTATTCTGTGAGAGCGTTGCCCTTCCTCGGTCGAGCCAAACCATTCGTGCTACAACTATACAATTAATATAGCTGCAGCATGGCTTTACCACGTAAATTGAAATTGCAAAGGTTCAAATGTTTTAGAAATTAGGGGAGCATGGCTCTACCACGTAAATTGAAATTGCAAAGGTTCAAAGGTTTTAGAAATTAGGGAAAGTCTGTGCCTAGCTGTGTGACGTATACTCTTGTATTATTAACATTCTTATTACACATTATCTTATTTTATTACCAGGCTGGAGCGTACCAAGCGTTCTTCCGTGCTCATTCCCATATAGAGACTAAACGGAGGGAGCCTTGGTTATATGAAGCCTCCACTACCGCGTTGTTGCGGGACGCTGTGAGAAGGAGATACGCGCTAGTTGACTTTTGGTAAACTACCTTGTTTCTTTTACAATTAAGAGTTAAAAGCGGTGCTAACAAATGGTAAAATTAAAAAATTTGTACAACCGATTTCAATATAAATAAAATGAGAACATCATGATATTAGTCGAAGTCAATTAAATACGCATTATTAAAGATAACTCAAAAACTACTGGTCAGATCTTGATCAAATTTATATGGAACCGCATGAGAAGCACCAGCTTACAAATAAAAAAATAATCATCAAAATCGGTTAACCTAGAAAACACACATTAAAAAAATATAGTCGAATGGAGAACCTTCTCCTTTTTCTGAATTCGGTTGAAAATGTTGTATCTCTTTCCGTCGAAATTCTGCTAGGTGGCATTATGCATACAGAAAAAATAATTCCTATAATTATTGTGGAGGAAATATTTTTTATTATAAAAATTCTACATTATATTATAAGAGTGACAAGCAAACAAATAGTCTACCAGCTATAGTAAGTGACTACAATAGCCCATTGAGGCTTACATACAACTTCATACAAAGAAAGTAAATGTAACTTATATTTTCAGGTACACTCTCTTTTACGAACACACATTAGATGGTACTCCGGTTACAAGACCTCTCTTCCAAGAGTACCCCAAGGAGGAAGACACATACACCATTGATGATGAATACCTTTTGGGTGAGTGTTTCAGTAATCTCAATATATTACTTGGTTTGCTAAGTCCCCTGCTGAACATAGAACATAGCCCGCTCTCGATATGATATGTTCAATTGTAGCCACTACAATAGCGCTTGACTGGGAGAGAATGCCAACAGGTATTAAGTCCGCCCTATGTTGTCCTTTCATTAAGGTGTATAATAAAGTGTAAATAAATAAATATCAGCCTGTATTGCACGCCTCATAACGCCTTATAGGTGTGTTCTACTCTCGACACGTCAAGGTCAAGCTATTTTGTGTACTTAAAATGCCTTTATCATAACTATATTGCACTTATAGGATAATATGAGTAGCAATATATCAAGAGAACACTCTAATCCATATTATATTTTCTAAGAAATAATTTTATTTTGATACTTTGAAAAAAAAATTTACAAGGACGTCCGGATGTTGATTTTGTATGTGTACGTATCGAGACCGTTTTTTTTTATTAGCTACAGAACTACATGAACTGGTTTCCCTATTTCATATCAATAGCCTAGTATGCGTAGTTTGTTAATAAAATGATTTTAAACTTTTTTATGTTTTATTGCTATTAAAAATTTAAAGGCGCTGTCATATATTTTTAACATTAGATAGACAAAGGACGAATGTACCATACAGCCTATATCGATTTTATACTTTGTGTTATCGTTTTATTTTGGTAAACATTATTATTTTTCCCCTGAAGGTAACACTACCTGTTAAAATAATAGAGCGCAAAATTTAACACACGTAAATAATATAGTATTTAAAAAGTCAGGAATACAATTTATTTTTTTCATCAATATTAAATGAAACGCTCATGAGGCGTAAACTTTTGGATTTTCCAAACTATTATTATGACATAAATAAACATTTCTGAAATTTTTATCTACCTATCCGTCTCTCTGTCTGTGTAGGCCATACTTCGGAATGGTTGAACCGATTGTAATGAAACTTGACGGACGTATAGAGAGCAAAGCAAGGAGTGATCTAGGTTATTTATAATCCGAAAAGTTTCAATATTTTTAACAGTCGAAAAATTGATAATATTAAACTTAATAACGTCACATAAACATAAACCCCACTCAGGCAATGCAAGTGCAGGTCGCTAATTGTTAATAAACAAGTGGTAAAATATAAAAAAATTCTACAACCGTCTTCAATATAAATAAAATGAGAACATCATCAATGTAGTCGAAGTCAATTAAATACGCGTTATTAAGGATAACTCAAAAACTGCTGGTCAGATCGTGATCAAATTTATGTGCGACCACATGAGAAGCACCAGCTTTCAAATAAAAAAAGAATCATCAAAATCAGTTCACCTAGAAAAAAGTACAGTAGAAGTGAGTACCTCCTCCTTTTTTCGAAGTCGGTTAAAACAGGGTACTCCCCTTGTATAAGACTATTTTTAAAGATATGTTAATTCAATTTGTTAATTTTTTACTTAGGTGACAAGTTACTGGTGAGACCAGTTCTGGAGCCAGGTGTGAAGAGTGTGAAGGTGTACCTGCCGGGAAGAGACACCAACACTCTGTGGTACGACGTGGACTCCTACCAAGCGCACAAAGCCAACGGCTACTTCACCCAAGAAGTGAACATTGCTAAGGTATAGAAACCTATAACTATATTTACTAGATAATAAGACTCCTTATCCCGTAACATTGTAGTTGCGGTTTATGAATATCGAAACCTCAAGCTTGCTTTTCACTATGGGATATAATATATATTACATTTCGAGGTATAATTTAATATCGCTCACCCATCGATCACTAAAAGAAAACTAGGTACACAAACCCGTGCAAATGTTCTCTAAAAACGAAATAAATATACATTAATGTAAATTCAACCTTAAATTAATTACCTAAAGTTGTATTTTGTACGTGGTAGAGCCATGCTGCAGCTATATTAGTAGTATAGTTGTAGCACGAATGGGTCGGCTCGACCGGGGAAGGACCACGCTCTCTCAAAATACCAGCGTCAAATAGCAGCTTCATGCTGCTGTGTTTCGTATAGTTAGTGTAGAGAACCGGAGACCCTTTTTATTGGGAATGAGGCATTCTATCTTAGTCCTCACAGGTGACAACGCATCTGCATTTTGATTTGCAAACGAGGATAAATGTAGATGTCTATGTGCCACAGCAACCACTTACCAGGTGGACTGTGTGTTCGTTTGTCACTCTATCCTATAAAAAAAATTCACAAAGTTACGTACAAATTAAAAGCGTACCCAAATGTTCGAGTGGGCGCTCATTCGCTGAAGACATTTTTTGTCACTGATTGTGTATCCAGTTTTTTATTAAAATATATTATTATTAAGTACATTATATCTCATACTTTAAATATTTTTTCGATCTACCGAGCGATATTTTCATATTATATTTCACCTCCTTGCACCCCGCACACCGTTCCGCGGCGCCGCTACGTCCTCAAATGCGTGTCTGTCATTACTTGAGGGAAATTGTACGTAGTGCGTATACTTATTTGTATTCGTAACTTTATTTTTCTAAAGAAACGTTACCTTCACACTAGGATTTCCTCCTGTATCGCGGGGGCAGTTCACATACATAGATTTCACAAGGACAAACAGCTAGACCCAGGACAGTTATTTGTAGGCCGTACAAATACTTATTCCGTATCAGATTTGTGTTCTCTCTCATTGCTAAGCCACTGCGCGATGGAACCGTTTTTTTTTTATAGGATCGGGTGACAAACGAGCACACAGTCCACCTGATGGTAAGTGGTTACTGTGACCCATAGACATCTACATCTATCCTCAATAAAAACTCAAGATGCAGATGCGTTGTCACCCGTGAGGACTAAGATGGAATGCCTCTTTGCCAGTAAAAAGGGTCTCCGGTTCTTTACACTCACCATACGAAACACAGTAGCGTTAAGCTGCTATTTTACGCTGGTTTTCTGTGAGAGCGTGGTCCTTCCCCGGTCGAACCGACCCATTCGTGCTACAACCATAATATAGCTGCAGCATGGCTCTACCACGTAGAAGCCATGCTGCAGTTTTCTTAATAGGATTCATTAAAAAGTCTAAATTCACTATATTCCACTCTAAACGTTATATGATTTGATATCCAGTATTGACACTCCCTGTCTTTACTTAAAAGTAACACACGTAAACCGATTTCTGCATCATCTTCATCTGATGACCTGTCGTGGTTATCTAGCAAAACGATATCCATTTTGTTTGAAAGACAATTTTGTTTGTAAACGACGCGTGCGATGTGATCCAGTAACGAAAACACACTGGTTAAAAATTAAAATATATATCTCACAGTGTGAAAGCCAATCGCGGAATATAATTTATATGTCTCGGGATATAATATATATTACATCCCATAATGAAAAGCGAGCTTTACCTATTAGGAGATGAGCAGTAGCGGCTTTGTAATAGTTACTAAAAATAAACTGTGGTCTGCAACCGCTTCATAAGCGCGGCAACTGTGTCAAATAAAACAACTAAGGCAATTGAGTATCCACCAGTGGACTTTAATAGGTTATAATGGTAACAATTAGACTCCTTAGTAGTGCGTGTGGATTCTTAAAACTTTTGAGTCTCATATCCCATAAACAAGGCTCTGTTTGCATAATCTCAAGAAACGTAATAACTTTTTCATTATTCCACTCCATCATAGCCATACTTGCGACGCCGTTGCGCTTCACCGTGCACAATGAGACAAACGTAGTGTGGCCGCTTCAACGCGTTATTTCGTGCGTTATCTCTTTGATGTACCGCCACTCGAGTTATCGCTAAACGGCAAACGACATTGTTAATGCCGTTGTCAAATTAACGCGTTAAGTCGTGGCCACACCTACATTCAACGTCCATTAACGCGATAATTAACGACATTTCTCGTTAGTGTGGCCCCAGCATTAGCGATGTGTCGTCGACGTATTTGTCGTTATAGAAACTAGACCGTCCATTGTCATTCATCGACTAGTCGATCAACTAGTTAAATTTCTCAACTAGTTTACTTGTTAACTTTTAAAATCCGCGATGTCGTCTATGGCTAAACATAATGGACGCACGTAGACCGTAGACTAGTGTAACGGCATGATGTATTATGTCGCCTTTCTCTTTTGCATACGCGATGATACCATGACGGTATCCTTTTCTTCACCTAACACAATAACAAACTGCTATTTATACTCTTACATATTCGTTATTTATCCGTTTACATTTAGAGTTCTAATTTGTTTGCGCAATTATGTCATTTCAACGAACATAATATAAACTATATAATATTACCCGACCACGTTCTCGCGTCGGTCATCACGTTGCTAATCGAAATGAATGTTATGGAGTTTCAATTTAGCCGTCTACGGATTCGACTAGTCCATTTATTGTTCATAAACCGTCTCGTTCAGAGTACATCGATGGTCGAATTAACTAGTTCGTTCATTCAACGCCCCTCGCTAATTTCTGACTACTTATCTCGTGGTCCCAGGTTAAAAGGTCAAAATAATTTCGGTAGCCGCCCAGCACATCAGAGTCAGGAAGTTGGCAGTGTTACACATGCATTAAAAAGCATGTAAAGCCGTTGATCTTGTGCAGAGTGTAAATATGTTTGGCACATACTCATTCACTATAATTCAATCCTGCAGATGGCTGTTCTGCATTAACCGGTTCAGTGCGGGTGACACGTCAGGCGTGCCATCGATTACTTTTGTGTGTGGCGTATGATACGCGATTCGTGTCTTTTTTTAAATCGTTATAACTCGCTCAAATTGCTTTTTTGGAAAATTTATCCAGAACAAAATATTCATTATTTTGCGAGTAATTCATGCATGCAGCTTCGTTTCTGGATATTTTGAAAATTTGAAGGGGTTGACAACCTTTTTTTAACGTGTACATGGTACTAGTTTTACTTTGTGGGTTATAAATCATGTTATGGAAAAATTGTCTAATAAGTAACAAATAATAGCACTCATTGCGATCGCTCACAAACTCAAGTTGTAAATAAATTTCTGGAAAACAAGTCTCCTGTTAAAAAAAAAACAATGCGTTTGTCTTATTGTTTAATTTTGCTTAAAATGGTTGAACTGCCGTCTTATTACTATCATATGGCCGAATAGACCTACGAAGTACCATGTGCTCTTGTGATATGGTATAAGGTTTATTTTTGCTTGAAACAGTTGGAAACCGTTCATGCATAAAAAAAGTTCGCTAATAAATAGTCTTTTGTCAATCCGCCGCCGTATAGCGCCGGCGTTTTTTTCCTTTTGAAAACACTTATTTTGCTATTCTTACTAATTAGACGTTTTCAGATCGACTTTACTTTTACATTGGTATAACATTAAATATTATTTAACATTTGTAAATATCAATGAATGATACCTATACGTTATTTTTTTTTCAAATTAAGGTTCTTCATTGTTTGATATTTACAAATGTTATTATTAGGTGAAAATTTAATTTAATAAAAACCAAGTTTCCATGGTGATTTAGCTGTACCTACTTATATAAATGATTTTTTTTATAACAACAAAAAATAGTACAAAAGGTTTGTAATCTCTTCATAAAAAAAAAATCACTTTCTCTCAATTTCAAAGAAAACGCGTAAAAAACACGTAGTTACCCACTAAAAACAAGTATCCTTCCATTTGTAACTTATGTTTGATGTCAAATAAACTTAATTAGGTCTAAACAAGTAAAAAAAGCATAAAAAAGTCTGTGGCGCTTGACACTCCCGGCGTGTCATGAAATATTTGTTCGCCGCCACAGCTAAAAGTTGGCGAAAATTGGTGCCGCAACGAATCAGTTAAGAATGGCCGCTGTGACCAAAGTTCGGTCTAGAGAACATTATGATTATACGAAGGACAGACGCATGTCTCATAAGTTGATGAGAGTACATCATGATTCAACTATTTCCAGATACCGGTGTACCAACGCGGCGGCAGTATCGTGCCCCGTAAGGAGCGAGTGAGGCGCTCCTCTACGCTTATGGCCAACGACCCCTTCACGTTTGTTGTGGCCTTAGACGCCAATGTAAGTACTGTGTCAATTTAAACTAAAAATCTAATATTCCATTTTATTTATTGTGCTGGCTATTAAAATAATATAAAATATTCTACATTTTTTTAAATAAAACATAAATGACATTTTATGTTTTGCTAGTTTATAGTATACTAGCTGATACCCGCGACTTCGTCCACGTCGCTTGATATAACAAAGTTTTCGTATTTGCGAAGGAAGAAACATCAAAAAGATCGCAAGCAAAAATATACTTTGTTTACCAAATTTCCTTGTTAACAATGTTATTCGTTGCTCCGTTTGTAGCAAAAATATATAAATTATCTGGGTTAGTAACGCGAGAGCAAACGACGTACAATAAGCACATCACTGAACACGTAGTGCTTATAAAAACCGTTGTTGTCCTTAAAACTTTAATAATTTTATATTAAATGAAGATGTCGCAATATGTTTTTTTCTGCCGACTTCCAAAAAGGAGACTGTACTCAATTCGATTGTATGTTTTTTTTTTTTACTTTTTACTGGGTGAACCGATTTCGTTGATTCTTTTTTTATTTGAAAGCTCGTACTTCTCGTGTGGTCCCATATTTGATCAAGGTCAGACCAATAGTATTTGAGTTATTCTTAATAACTTATATTGAAGTCGGCTGTACAAAATTTTTAATTTTAAATTATTTAGATAAGGGCCAAGTGTATAAGAAATAAAACTTCGAAAACCTAATTGAAATCTATCCGGTAGTTTTTACGTGATGCAAGCACAACTGCAAACCTTTATCATTTTATGTATAAATAATAAATAAAATAAAATAATTTATTTTTCTTCACAAAACTTAAATTTATTAGATAGTTGATTGGGGTCTCCATTTAAGCAAGTAATGCTTGTGTTTGGAAACCCCGCTCTTCCTTATCTAAACATACATTTTAATTTTCAAAACCAAAAATTACAAACCAATTACTCTATTTTAACAAACCAAAAATAACAAAAACTAATTTATTCTATTTTTATAACCAAAAATTAAAAAAGTACAAAAGTATATGTGTGCATATATGCAAGTGCGTGTTTGAGTGTGTGTGTGCGTGTTTGAGTGTGTGTGTGTGTGTGTGTGTGTGTGTGTGTGTGTGTGTGTTTGTGTGTATGTACGTGTGTGCACGTGCGTGTGAATGTGTGTGTGTGTGTGTGTGTAGAGAAAGTATTATTGTGTTATATATCGTAAAGCACAGTGAATTATGAAATGCGTTCCATTAGAAAATCAGTTTCGTCATATGTTTTCGACTGCACCCATTTTAGTATAAGGTTTTTACACTCGTTGTACGTTTTGTCGTATATGTTTAATTCTCTATTTATTAAATTATATAGGAATGTAGAACGGGAGCTAAATTGCCTACTAGCAGACACTGTTTTGGAACCAGAAGACACAGCCACAACATCTTTTCGCCGCTTTTCCAAGATGCATCGGTCAAAGGGCATGGATTTGTGTGCTTTGAGCGTTGTCATAGTAACGTATAATTGTCTAACTGAGAGTAGACCACTTATTTGATACAGTTTTTCAGTGGAAAAACGTCTTTTTTTAAAATACATGACCTTAAGAAGGATTCGCTGAGCTCTTTCCAAGTTAAGAAATTGGCACCGGAATGCAATAAGTTATGACAGATTGTGAAAGCGATATGTATATTTGGTTTAGAAGATATCTGGGAGAGTCCAACTGTTTAGTATTATCTGGTATTACGTGTCTTAGGGTTTTGAATATCCAAATCAATTTTCGAGTCCTACTGATGACAAGCTTTATATAGATTTAATTGGCATGTAACTGGTTTACATATTGTTTTAGAAAGACAAACTGATAATAAATAAATTATGCTTAAATAAAAACTTAAAGCCTACTTCTAAAAAGTAAAAAGACAACTCCACTGATAAATGTTGTAATAACGATAAATTTCCCATCCCACGCAAGCAGTGTAATTGAAAGAAAAACATTTCGTTTCAGAATACTGCTAGCGGCTCTCTATATATCGATGACGGCGAGACTTACGACTACCAAAACAATAAGTACGTCTACTCGAAGATATCCTACGAGCCTAACCGCATGAGTTACACGTGAGTATGCGTTGTATTCGAGAGAGGGTTGTTATATTCATTTATTTAGGTATAGTATAGGCCATACATACGTGGTAGAGCCATGTTGCAGCTATATTAGTAATATAGTTGTAGCACGAATGGGTCGGCTCGACTGGGGAAGGACCACGCTCTCACAGAATACCATCGTAAAATAGCAGCTTAACGCTGCTGTGTTTCGTATGGTGAGTGTAGAAAACCGGAAACCTTTTTGACTGGAAAAGAGGCATTCCATCTTAGTCCTCACGGGTGACAATGCATCTGCATTTTGATTCGCAAACGAGAATAGATGTAGATGTCTATAGGCCACTGCAACCACTTACCATCAGGTGGACTGTCTGCTCGTTTGTCACCCAATCCTATAAAAAAAAAACTATAGCAGCTCAACGCTACTGTGTTTCGTACGGTCAGTGTAAAGAACCGGATACCTATTTTACTGGAAAAGAGGCATTCCATCTCAGTCCTCACGGGTGACAACGCATCTGCATTTTGACTCTTTATTGAGTATAGATGTATATATCTATAGATGTCTATATCCTCAGCAACCACTTACCATCAGGTGGACTGTGTGCTCGTTTGTCACCCTATCCTATAAAAATAAGGCCTTTGTTGAAAGACATAAACGCGAAGAAAAAAGTCGAAAAAGAGGATTTACGGAATTTAATAATTTTTAAAGTTAACTGTATTTATATTTACCATTCAGTGAAAACTTAAATTTGATAGTTTAAATTCTTATTAAAAGAATTTTGAGTTAAAAATTCTTAACTAAACTTAACTTCTAAAGAATTTTTAACAGACAGACCTCGGGAGTCTAACGTTTGAAAAGTCAAATTGTTAAATAAGGATCAGTTATAATATTAGTCTTAATAAGTCACTTTTGTAGTGTATTTGTGTAAGTATGCGAATTTATACACAGACAAAAGAGAATAGTGCAGAGCAATATGGTGGATAGTTTGGCATTGAAATCGGAGAAGAGGAAGCGTTTAACTTATTGTTTGACCGAAGCTATTTTGTCCAACTGCTCCTAAGTAGTTTCACTTGATAATATACTTGTTGCTCGGTTAACAGTTAATACATGGATGAAAATAACTGCTGGGAATGAGGTGATCGCCACCATGCTGGTTCTATTTAAATTAATGTAACAAATTGTACAAAATTATTGTAGTTATATATGTTTAAAAAAGTCCCGGCTGGGTTTCTTGCTGGTTCTTCCCAGGACAGAGGTATTTTCCGAACCAGTGATAAATAAAAATAATGACCTTCAGTAAGTATAAAGTAATCTATATTGAATAAAATTATTCTATTCTGGTTTTCATAGCCTAGTCAACCCAGCCGCACAGTATTCAACCCGTGCATGGGTTGAGAGGATCGTGATAGCCGGCATCCGGAATCCACCCAAGAGTGCGAGGCTGCTGCAGGGAGATCGCAGCTCAGCTCTGCAGATGACGCTGCACCGCGGCAACGACGTGCTGGTCATAAGGAAACCAGCTGCAAGTGTTGCCACTGACTGGACCATCGAGTTCGCTTATTGAATCAAACATTAATCAAAAACCGTGTTTTGTATCAGATGCAGATGTTGTAAATGGAAATAGAGATACGAATGCAGTGTTGCCCTTGTTGCGACTTTTAATGACTATAGATATTGTTGTTTCATAGATTCGCCACTTAAGCCAGGCAAAGATCTTAGACCATACAGCCTAATCTGATTCGTATTTTGTCATGCTCTTTGCAATATGTTAATATGCGTGAGTTTTTGGGAGATTTTGACGACAGCTTAATGTAGCGGAGGGTTGATGATAATTTCTCAAGGCCTCTTAGCGGATAAAAAAAAACCTAAGATTTATATTATTACCACTGAGCACTTGTTACATCGTTTCCAGTAATAGTTTCCGTGCGCCAACATCTGATACACACAGTTTTACGTATCAAAATTCAAACTATTATGTAAACGATAAAACATGAGCCGCAATCCGCCGGTCAGCCAAAACTCAATTCCCATTGATTTAAAAAAAAAGTTAACGATTTTAATTAGATTCTAATAAACTTTTCAATGTTTAAAATATAGGACATTTATTATCTAAATAATGTCGTAGTTTCGTTTGCATGATTAGAATTAGGGATATTGTGAGATTCCAACATTAGTGCAACATTGAATTTTATTATTGTTAACGAAGTCTCTGTATTCCATTTAAAACGTCTGAATACTTTGTGACAATGTCCTCCCCTGAACTGATAATCTTTAAACGGTATCATTATATTCTAAATGTGTTTCTCTAGATAAATGTTTGTATTGCGATTTTCGTTTCAACAACATTTGGAAGGGTGTAAAGTTGTGAATAGTGCTGTCATGTACATAATTCATTCCGAAATATATCCCAAATGTAATGAAAATACATTTTTCAGTCATTTTTTTCCGATTGTATTCTCCATATTATGTTTATCATTAATATGTAAATAACTAGATAATTCTATACAAAAGGCCCTTGGTTGGCGAAATATCAGTCAGTCGCAGTGCCAAAGGCTAAGAACCTAACTGGCTAAGCTGTCGGATATTTCAGGTCTGGTATTTTCTTTGAACTATGTAATGTTACAAATTAAAAATTATGATAATTGATATTAGAATAAAAATAATTAAGCTATATATAGATATATTGACATTTTAAATATTACAAAACTTTATACAACAATCCCACAGTCCCTTACAAGTTGAACAATCAATGTTCAGTAGTTCTCTTATATATATAACCAATCTTTTGTCACTGCTTACCAATCTGTCAGGCTATAGGTTGAACTTGCCTTAATGCAGATATCTTCGTAATTTGTAAGTTACAATATAAGTAACATTATAAATTTCTAATAATATATTGAACAAATGTACTGTACCACATGGCAACACTTAATTTTGAATTATTATCATAATATTAATCACGCGTGGCCCTAGTACTAGGCAGTATATGGTACGGAAATTATAAAGTAAGCGACTTTATTTCAATACGAATATAGTTCATTTTTAACTTTTGATGTATAATGTATTTTTAAAACAAATCATACTGATGTTTTACTCTCTCAAGGCTCCAACATGTGCGAGTTTTAGTAATAATAAATTAGTAAATTTTACCAGTTATATATATATATATACAGAAGGTATATTGTGTGTGTTGTATTGCTTTACAAGTTTTAATAACAAGTGAATAGTTGATAGTAGCGATATATTACTATGAAAATAGAATATAAATAGAAAACGTTTATTTATACTGCATTCGTCACATACTAGAGATTTCATCAACACTATTGATTTTTTTTTTAATAGGAATAAGAAAAAAAGGAAGTGTACCTTGACATATATGAAATACAATAAAATGTTTAACCGTGTTATACAAACAAAATAAACTAACAAGCATGTCCATAATATCAAGGGCAAATTAAGTTTGCCTATTTTGAGTTTTCCTCATAATGTAGATATCTGGAAAACTTCAAAAAGTTAATAAATACATCATGTGTTGGAGCTGTTAACGCAATAAGTGTTAATTTAGAATTCAAACAAACAAAATTTAGATAATAATTACATTTGATACTACAATTATTCTTTATTCTAAATGGACACTTAGCGTACAACTTCTCTGTGTATGATGGGTGGATGAATTTTATCATATCTTGTGATAATAAAATAGATTGTAATATTCACACAATTTTATTTTTTTCCTTCGTCCTTTTATAATACTTATAAATAGCAACACTGCAATTTAAAGTTGCCCTTAATGTTTCTTCAGCCGCTATATATAAACAATATTTAATACACTAAATAGTATATTCAATGGACTAGCATTAACACAGGCAATTTAAAAACAATTAACTTGTCTCTAACTTTTTTTTAATTTTTTTATAACTATACACGGAATTTTTAGAAAGATTTAAAACATGCTTTCTATTAATACTCCATTTGTTTTAAATGTAAAAATAGAAATCTACATTTTCAGTAATATTTATCATAATATTTACATGTTCCAAGAAGTTAGCAACACAGTTTGCATTATTGGCTGAACTGGCTTCTCCTGCACCATATTCTATAGAGACTTACTTTGCTAGACTTATATTATTTAATATAATAAACAGTATCATTATGTTTAGATTTTGAATTTATTGCATTTAATGCATTTTTTTCTATTCAATAAATAGTAAATACAAATATGAACTCTAATTCTTTCATATGGCAGTGGTCTTTTTGTGTTAAAAAATTCAGTATAAAATCATTCTTAAGTCTTCTGACGTTTTGATAAAAATAAATAAAATGTATAGCAAACAAAGAGCTAGACTAAAAGCTAACTAACTAGCTTAGGCACACTTTCCCTTCTAGGCATTACAAAGGGAAATAACCTTATATTACGTTCGGTTCAGCTAGCGTTTAATAAAAAGGATAAAGTGTTTTGAAAATAGGAACAAAACAAGATCAAAAAAGTTACATAGAACAATAACTTAGACATCTTAATAAATTCTTATAATACAAAGATTAATACAATATAAACACATAGATTCATATAGTAGCTCACTGGAAAATCACAATAGAATTGAGAACCTAATAATACTTAATATATTTTAACTTATGGTTATGTAGGTACTAGTAAAAAAAAAAAAAAACATAAAACATGGAAAAACTCTAACGATTACGCTATTTCATTTCCAAACACAATTGTTAACATAACACCGATGATATTGACCTCCAAAGGGCTGAAGCTTAACTTATCATACAGAAATAATCATACGAAGAAAAGTATGCTTCAATTAATACATTTAAAACTTACAAAACTGAATAGAAAATGCGTAAGTTAATAAAACAACACAAACAAAATACCTAGTAAAGTTACAGCCTAAGTAGGTCCTTCCCATTTCTGTGGGTTGAGTGATCAGTTCCCGTTGCAGTTCCAATGCGTGTTGGAGAACTATACGTATTATCGAAACATTTTATTCATTAGACAACGTAAAAGAGCAATTAAAAATGCAATTAACAATTTCATTAGTAACACACATAAAAAAACATACAGTCGAATTGAGTACCGTCTCCTTTTTGGAAGTCGGCAGATAATAAGATTTAATAAGAATCGAGCGATTTGTAAGAGCAAAAATCATTTGAAAGCAATATTTTCTTTAACAGCCCGTACCTGCAGGACATGGGCTCCCATTGTAGGAAGTATATATCTTAATCACCACACAGGTTAAGAGATCGCAGTAGCTAACGTAACGCATCTTTGACACTTCCCCTGGCCGATCTGGATATTTCACGCCTGGCATATACGAGATTATATATCTCTATCTACAAACCATCGGTCTACCTAGCTTCTATATAGCCGCTCCGTACGACACTCACATGATGAACGGATTGATTCTCATACATCGTCACTATACAGCAATAAAGACACTATGAAATAAATAGAGAGCAATATATATATATATATATATATATATATATATATATATATATATATATATATATATATACGTACATACACACTGGTCCGGCAGACGTCCTGTCCTTTCCAGGGCGCGATGAAATTTCATTCCGAACTACTCCGAACTTTTTACAGTATAAATATAAAATTTATTATTAACTCGATCATAGCCCTATCTATCAGGTCTAAACCTTTATGATTTTTGGCACTTTACCAACATAGATTACGAATGTACTTGTGCAGACTAACGACGACGGGGGTCTTGCGGGGCACGGGGCGGACTGACCGTGTGCCAGCGCACTCTGGACAATACGTACGGTTGATGCGAGCGTGTTTTTGAAACTAATTTAACTAATTTTTAATTCCGTTTTCGTAAAATATAAATCTATAATGGTTAATTAATGTTATAGTTGTATGATTTACTAAGTAAAGTTGAATTCAATTGATGCTTATTATGCTTCTCTAACTTTTCTTTGGATAAAATTTTTAATGCGAATGCAATACATAATTAAATTTGACAACAACAATCGAAAACTGAAAACGTCTATAAAAAGAAAGTGTCACGAAAATATTTGGCAGTGCTTGTAATTGTATTATTTTTTTTTGTAATAAAACGAAATGATTTCGGTCAATAAATGTATTTTAACTTTTAAAATTTTGTAACTTATACGTATGTACATAATGTTAATAAATGATAATGAGTATTATATATAAAAAAATATTTTATTGCCAATTCGCGACAACCCCTAGCATATTTGGGACGACGGCGTAAATAGTAAATACCTACGCGGCCGGCGGCATCGCCTGACATCAAAAGCGTTCCACAACTGTTAGCTCTTTAAACTATGCTTCTCTACATAGTACAAAACAAAGTCGCTTCCCGCCGTCTCTACGCTTAGATCTTTTAAACTACGCTACGGATTATGATGCAGTTTTCATCAATAGACAGAATGATTCAAGGGAAAGGTTTATATGTACAAAGTAAAGAACTACTATCTAGAAGAGTAATTTTGAGCAGCAACACAGGGCTAATACACAAATGCCGTCAATGTTTAAAATGAGATATGTAAATGCAACATTGTGACTTTACAAATGGATCAAATGTAACTAGGATCTAGAGCCAACGATGCGGCTGACGAGTTTAGCCAGGTCGAAACCGATTATTTTTGGGCATGGTCGTTCACTGGTACATATACACTTAAAATAAACCATGAAGACTGCAGATGGGTCAGGCAAGCCCTGCCTACAATAAATGCTTCCATCTCCAAGGTGGTTAATACGACTCAAGAAACCCCCAATTCCAGATAGTATAGTATCCGAATATTAATGCTACAGGATAGCACCTAATCGTATAGGACATGGTTCTTTTAACAAAGCATCTGTTTACCTTAGGTCTTACAGACAGTCTCCTATGCAGGGCTTGCATGAGAAAAGAAGAAATGGTCGCCACTTACTGGGCTAAACATCTCAGTGTGCCGAGGTCGCTACTCTAGAACATTAAGAACCTGCGCTCACAGGCGGCACGTGAAGGCACGGCGTGGCAAGGCACACTTCGGTATGCCGAAGGATCCCGCGGCATATCAAACAAGTCAAGACGCGCTCGTGTACCGGGCGCTCGTGCGAGTCGCTGAGATTGCCGCAGCAACGGGCTAGATTCAACCTTGTTTTAATTACTTAGGAGTCACATTCCTTTAACAATATGAAGTAACTTATGCATTTCACGCGATACAGCGGCGTGCCGCGACATCCCATGGAATGCCGTGACGTGCCGCAGTATGACGCGGTGTTGTGCGAGACGTTTCGGTCTATTCGTGTTGAAATAAAAGAATGTCAGTGCTAATTTCATTAAAATAAAGTCGAAAATCTTAACTCCATGAAAAAAATTCTTTGATACGCCGTGCGATCCCGTGCCGTCTGTGTGCGCAGGCCTTTAGGGATTACTAAACATCTTCGAGGAGATAATATCATGGCTAGAATAACTACATTATTCCTTACCACACACTATACTTGAAGATCCGGATAACAGCCTGTTGCAAACTAATTAAGACGTTTATTTGGTTATTCACGCCACAATAGCGTTAACAGACTGAATCACAACCGAAGCATAAATCACGCTATTGAACGACTCTACATATATAGAACAAGCACCATGCCACCACATTGTGAGTTGGCTGCTCTCCGAGCTGAACACCTTGCCCAGTGGGAAATCTCCCATTTGCCTTCAACGGCCAATAAAACTGTGGAGTCAATAGCAGGTTTTCATACAACTTCTAAAGAAAGTTTTGTGTCGACAGCTTGTAAAAATCAGTTTAAGAGTATCAAATATTTCAATAATGCAGAAAACTCGACCATCGAACCAGGTTTCGATAGTTGGATTATTTATGTCTGACAACTTTGGAAACAGCCTGGTTTATTTAAATTCTCCTGTACTTCCTCTTTTTAATGCCAGCCACGGAACCAAAGGAAACGGATGCCGCTATAAATTTATGCTGTCTATAAATTAGACTTTTATTTATTGGTAAAATTATATGGTTAAAATTAAAAGTTAAATTTCAGATCGGAATCGTGAGCAGTATCAAAGGTTACATATGTTACTGCGTTTCACAACCCGCCTGCCAAGCGGGCTGTCACGCCAAATACTCCCGACTGGCAAATGCCAAATTCTAGCAGTTACTGAATTCATATGACAAAAGTACATTTTATAACAAGAATACACTTATTAAGAAATATTTATAAACAATTATCAAAAGTGATTTAAGCTTATTAGAGAAAAATAGTGAAGTGTAAAATATTTAATGTTCACTGTAAACTAATATTAGAAAATAAATACAACATATTATATAAATTATACCGTAAAATGTGGTGAACAGGATTAAACTTCAACCTCTATGCTGATTTTCTTACATATTTTGTATGCAAAACTATTATCAAAGTATTCCGTTATTGTCAGTCTCGTTGTAGTTTACCAAACCAAATACTAATGCTTAAAACGCATATATCAAGTATTTGAATAGAGAATAATGTTAGGGCTGTCAAATTCAGATGCTTTGAGTTTGGTATGTACCACGTAACTACTTCTTAAAGTTAAAACATCGATCATCTCGGTTAATTTGTAGTATGTGTAATGTAATTCCTATTTAATTTGGATTACTATTTCTAAAATTTTCTTTAAATCTATCTAATCAGTAAGCTGAAGTGAAAACGCGTTAACCATATAGCTCGATGAACATACAACCGATGAGAAAGAAAGGTTCTCAACTAGCTGCCTCGTATCGGTAAGCGAAGTGTACGCCAGCCCCCAATAGACTGAGTAATGACCTGGAAAGCGTTGCAGGAATTCGATGGAAACCACCATAGAATACCATAAAACACGCTCCTATTTACGCAATGGACTCGTGAACGGTTGTAATTATGATGACGATGAAATTTCAGAATTTCGGCATCACATTACGTATAAGTACTAAACTATATAATATGTCGCTTATATTTATACTACTCGAATGAATTGAATATGAACTAGCTAACTAGATATATTTACTACGATGCCTTTTATCTGATGTAAGTGTGCCCACCCTATTCCAAACAAAGATTTTATCGAACAACCAATATCCGAATTACACATTTATAATAGAAATAGATAAATGACTTTCTGACAGTATAAGCTTTGTGCTTCATTAGATTAGATTCAATTAGCTTATTATTAATATAATTAATAGGCTGTAATGAATGAATAACAAAATTATAATATAAAAAAAGCCTTAATTAAGCCCTGGAATGCCACAAAGCATGGTCCCGAGCCCTCTGCATCAATCGACTTTCTGCATTTCAAACCAGGTCGTTTATATAGTAAAAATAAATGAAGCAAATAGTTTTTGACAACCCTAAAATCATGTTTCTATTCAACTCCTTCTCGTTGCTATTAACCTTACATATATTCAACCATTTCTTCGTTCCTATAAACCCCAAGGGCGTTTAATAGTCTACCGTCCGTCACAGCCTATTAAAGTCCACTGTTGAACTATGGAGTGTAGAGTAGAAGAAGGATCATCTCTGTATATGAAAAGTGTCCCTAAAAACGCGTCCAATAAGGGTGGCGCTGCAGTAGCATAGGATAAATTTAAAAAAAAGCGCCAAAATTCATTAGAATAATATGGAGAAATAAACAAGGACCGACCAATCCGCTTGGTTTTGTACTACGTAAATAGTTGAGAATTTGTATACTGGCATTTTACTAACTACTCTAGTCATGAAATTTTTTAAATATTTTAATTCAGCTGACTTCACTCCGTCTACAACAGCTATATTCATATCGTAGTTTTTCAGACGCCAGCACTATTGTGGTAGGTTTTGGAACCTCTATTTTCAGTATATATTGGGACACTTTTTCAACTTTCGCACCTTATAAGATGGTTCTCCTTCTACTCTACACTCCATATGTTGAACATAGGCCACTCTCATAGATTGCCTCATAGAGGGGATATTTGCCATAGTTGCCACGCTTCGCAAGCAGGTTGGCAGTGCAGTTTTTTGTTTTTAGTCGTTATTAAGAAGACGCTGTTGCCCATCTCCTGATTTGTTTCCCTCTGTCATATCTTACCACACCCACGGGATGATATGGTGTAGTAGATATTTTTACACCGCCACTACACGGTTTAATAGTCTATTAACCTCGGATTCGAGAAAAAGTACTAGTACCCTAATTATGCTATAAATATTAATAATTGAATGTTGATGTTCTCCTTTATATCAATAATTTGCTATTGATGAATAACTTAACTCTCCAAATAAACAAATTTACAAGATAACACCAAGGAACTTGGATAACTTGTGCACACACATTCACTTTAACCACTTTTTTCATAAATGTCATCATACTACGTTAATTTATGGGTTGCCAGAGTAACGGAAAATGTTGCTGTGTAATAAAAAGTGCAAATGTTTACTGGCTATAGACAAACCAAGAGACAATTTTATCAAATTATACCAGACTTGTGTCTAATCACAAAAATTTCCATTCACCTTATTTTACGGTATCGAATAACCATAACTAAAAATATGGAGATTTTTCTCCTTTAATTTACAGCCTTATTTACAAAATTCACAACACAAAAGGGAATAAAAACTGTTATGAACAAAATAAAGGATAAATATGATTTGCCTGTTTTACTCTATTAACCTTAAATTTAAAACAAATGGAGTATGTAACAATTTAAATATTATTTATTAAAGCTATTATAATAAGTGGGAAATGTGACTTGTATAATTCTAGAGAAGCATTACCTTAGCCTAAAATCTTTGTGATTAATTTAAACTAGTCAACAATATACATACAATATTTACCACATAACAGGCAAGAGCTGTTTACTTAAAGAATATTCTAGTAGGCTTATCATCGCTCGGAATTTCTATGAATGGATGCGTGTTCTGATGCCTTAGCATTTTCGATTCACTTTTAAATTTCTTACCACATACATTGCACGTTGATTCTTCACCTGCATTGGACGAGGTCTCCTCATCACTATCGTCTTCCTCTTCTACTTCTTCATTTTCCTTAACAACTACCCATTCTTCTTTCTCTAAAGCACTTTCAGCTTCAGTTCTTTTTGACGTTGATTGTTCTTCATCAATAAGTGACTTCCCAGTCGCCAAAAACGTCTTCATGTTCAGATGTTTGACCGACATCTTGTGCTGTTTTAAGCGATTCTCTGAACTACACTGATATTCACATATGAAGCACACGTATTTCATGTCTCCTGTATGCAGTTCCGCGTGAGATTTTCTCTTCTCAGGCGTTGCGAATCGAAAATCGCAAAACTTGCACGGGTACTTTCTTTCTAGGGAATGAAGACGCATGTGTGAGGTCAGAGCATTGCTGTCTTTACAAATCTTTCTACATTCAATGCACATGACTCCTTTATCTACCATTTCGGAATCAACCGCGCATTCTGTGCTGTGATGGACGCGTCTGTGAGACGTTAAGCCTTTTTGACTTATGAAAACCCTTCGACAATCTATACATTGAAATTGTGATTCGACTTTTACATCTGGACTATGTTTTTCTATTTGATGAAGAGCTAGTTTGTCAGCTTCATGAAATTGCACTCCGCATTCTTCACATTTCCAAGCCTTAACCAACTTTGAAAATGCTTCTAAAACATCTAAAACTGATTGTCCTTCAACTTCTGGGTGATCGGTTTTCGTATGGTTGCCAAAATCGATGATTTTCGAAAAAGTGCCATTGCAGTGTGGACAGATGTATGGTTCCTTATGGTCGTCCATCACATGGGACTTCAATTCCGATAATTCTGTACAGGTTTTCGCGCACATGAAACATTTCAACTTTTGCTTTCCTTTCACAACTTCTGATAATACTTTATACTCCATCACTTGAACTTTTTGATGTATTTGTAAATGCTTAAACAATTCTTTACGAGTGTTATAGTCTGTGGGACAAAATTTGCAAGGAAAACGTTTTCTATGCAGTCTTTTACGATGAAGTGACAATTCCTCTTTATCTTTAAATTGTTTGGAGCAAGTAACACATGGGAAATAAGAAATTAGGTCTGTACACATGTTATGTGATCGTAGACAAGTCTCCATGCGACTTCTGCGTCGGAAAACTTTCCCACAAGTACATTCATAACCTTCCTTCTTAACACTTTCCACTATGGTGTTCTTTGATGGAACGGGAGAGTTTTCAACTTTTGTTTTTCTTTTTGTCTTTTTCTCCTTTTTTATCTTGGGAGTATATTTTTTCTCTTCCTTCAACTTTTTCTTCATATTAGCTATTCTTGTTTTTTGACCCTTAATTATGCCCATTGCTCGTTTTTCGATAGTGTCATGAACTTGCTTGTGCCTTCTTAAATTACTTGCGGATTTGTACGCTTTTGGACATTTTGTGCAAACGAAGGGTCTATCTAATCTGTCCATCTTACTTTTAGCTTCCAAAAGACCATAGGCCTCTTGCTCTAAGGACATCACATTCCCTGTTATCGAATTAAGTTGGAACGATTCATCACAATCCATTGGGTTACATTCATCACTCATGTACGACGTTGGTAATATTTCCTCTGGATTGCTAATTTTGCAAAGTGATACACCTGCAGGATGTGTCATAGGTAATATCTCCATAACTAATGTTTTAGTCGTTTGCGATTTTATCAATCCATCCTGCGGATTAGTGACAGTTGAGGTAGTATTTATAACTTTGTTAGAGATCAAGTGGGTTTCAGTAACTGTTAATTCAATTTCATTTTTTATGGTTGACTTCTCCAGATCATTATTTTGATCCTGAAAATAGCAAATTACTTAAGTGGTGGAAACATTTTCTAAAAATAAAAAATAAAATAATGTTAATGACAATTATAACCCAATATAACTTTTGGCCCATACCCCCTTCCCTAGTACCAGATCAAAAAGCAAAGGCATGATGGAAAAGGTTTAAATCAATATTCTAGAAAAGACAAAATGTAATGATACCCACCTCAAATAACTCACTTTCACACTTTATTTTTATGTCTTCTTGTAGACATGCCTCAACATTATTTAAAGCTTTAGGTTCATTACTATCCATAGTTTGTATGTCACCAAAGTTAGAATTATAAAATGAATTTCCTTCTACATGCTCTTCTTGTTTAATGTCTATATTGCCATCATACATGTTAGTAATTGTTTCCTTCAGAGATTTGTGATTGGATTTTTCAAATATTGTTACAAGAGATATATAATTTTCAGTTCCTTCCCTATCTTTCTCAACAATTGATGATATATTTTCATTGACAATTTTATTTTGAGCTTGTTTATCAACATTGAGAGATGATACATATTCATGTTTGACTTCAAGCTGAATATTTTCAAAAGGATTTTCAATTGATACATTATACTCATGAGGATCTATTTCAGTTTTAACTTGTAAATCCTCATTTACTTCCAAATGAGGAATTTCTTGTTTTATATTTATTTTACTTAAATTATCATCTGGAATTTTACTATCTAGTGATTGAATATTTTGCAATGCCATTTTCCTGAAAAAAAGTGTTTTAGTTAGTATAAATTAAATGTTGGCTTTTTTGAGGGATTTTCCAAGAGTGTACCTCTTTTATTTTTTTTTAATGACATTTATCCTATTATGTGGAACAATTAATTAGAAGTATATGTAATGTATTACTATGTAACTAATTACAATTGATAGCATCTTCATTTGTTAAAATGTTGTCATCAGACCATAAATTTCCAATGCTGGACATACACCTTACCTAAGTATTTAGTTACTGGCCTTTATAGAGAAGGTTCAGAATAAGTAATATAGGCAAATGGTGAGGAAACATTAATTAAAGATAATCTCAAACATTCTGTCCTTTTTATCTTTTAATTTCAAAATGTGTGGCAATACATTATTTTAACTGATTTTACTGCCCAGGAACACATTTGTAAGGGTTGATCGGTAGGCAAAAATGTTGTTGCCCATAAATCACATTAAATTTGCGATATAATGATTTCTTATATATACGCGAACACTACACATTTAAATAAAACTAGTTTTATGGATTTTATCACGTATATTAACTTATTTTATATTCCCGACCTTTTTAGTACTTTACAGCACCCATGGTCATATGGGGGATTGAGGTGTTTGACATCCCAATGTCATAGTTAACCACGGCTACCTCTAGATTAAAAATTATTAATTTTTGTTCCGATCTACGCAGTATGAACTTACAGTATCTTGAAATCATGCAGTTGCATGCTTGGATTGGGATTTAATTTTATTAATTATAGGATCCCAAGCAGATGGTAGCCCCCAGCCATCTTCTTATTGAAATTAAATTTGCGATAATTTAAAATACATTATTTTTACATATTTTAAAAACTGCAATAACAGTATATCATTATTTATATATTTAAATTTAGGTTTAAAATTTGGCTACTATTTGAATTTGGTTTCTCAAAATAGCCCTAATGATTTGGATGAAATTTTGTTTTTAGATACTGTTTTACTTTCTAAGTTTATCTAGATATGGGTCTAAATATTACTGTTGTGGGAGCTGCATACAACTTCACACATTTGACAAAGAAAAGGTGGGGGGAATTCCATCACAACCGGCACCTTTGGAGAAATTATTTGTTCCGCCTGTCATTTAGGACTGGATTAGTGCCAAAATCCTGGAAGCTGGCCAACGTGCAGCCTGTTCCAAAAAAATGCAGCCATGCAGACCCTGCCAATTATCGGCCAATCTCAATTACCTCCATACTCTGCAAGATTATGGAGCGTATATTGAACGCCCGCTTAATGGCATACCTAGAACAGAATGACCTCCTTAGTGACCGGCAATGTGGGTTTCACCGAAATTGGTCAACTTTCTCGCCTATGCCATACACGTATGGGGCGAGGCACTAGAGAACAGTGGCCGAAATCGGTCACCTGGGGACCTTCTAGCGTATGCCAGACGTAAGGGGCGAGGCACTCGAGTACAGTGGGGAAGCACTTGCTGTTTCCCTTTATGTCTCGAAGGCCTTTGACAGAGTTTGGCACACTAACCTTTTGAATAAGCTTCCAGCGTACGGCTTATCCCCTGGTCTGATTGAATGGGCGAAGGACTTTCTGAGTGAACGGTCTCTCCGGATCGTCTTCGATGGCTGCTCATCCGATCCTATGGCGACTAACCCCGGTTCCGTTCTCTCCACAACTTTCTTCCTGCTGCATATTAATGATCTGCTTATGCCCGGTATCTATGGGTATGCAAACAATAGCACAGTTGTGGATAGAAACCAACCAAGTCCTCAGGCCAGTCGGGATCAAAGCCAGTCCGAAAGAGAATCTATTGTAGAGCGTGTGAACCTCACACTACAGGCAGTCTCCGAATGGCTTCATGGCTGGCCAATCTTGTGAAATTCAACGCCTGCTAAACACAAGCGTGTCTCTTCACTGCAAAAAGGAGCCAGCTTACCTTGGCTCCTTCTTTCTGAAATGTATCATTGAAATATACCGACTGCCTTCAGTTGTTAGGGTTTGAGATATCCTCAAATCTGAACTTCGGGTGGTTCATTGAGTCCAAGGCCAAAGCAGCTGCAAGGAAGCTGGGAGTCCTTGCAAAGGTGCGGCGATACTTCACGCCGGGACAGCTGCTTACTTTATATAAAGCGCAAGTTCAGTCGTGCATGGAGTATTGCTGCTATATATGGGCTGGTGCTGCAAAATGCCACCTAGCAGCTTTGGACTCAATGGAAAGGTGTGCTAAGAGGCTTATTGGTGACCCGACTTTGATTAAAAGTTAAAACCAATCTTACCAGCCTAGAACACAGATGCAAAGTAGCCAGCCTTTCGGTTTTCTACAGGATGCATTTCGGAGAGTGTGTGCAGGAATTGCATAATTTAATTCCTCCCTCTCCCTTCCACCATCGGACAACCAGACATTCAGCCAGTCTCCACCCTTTTGTTGTTGACTTACCACGCATTCGAACCAAACGGTTCACCACGTCGTTTATCATGCGTACATTAAAGGAGTGGAATAAGTTGCCAGCATCTGCCTTTCCATCTGATTACAGTGTGGGTGTCTTCAAGGCAAGAGTAGAGGCTTTTGTTAAGTCAGCGTGCTTCACCATTTTAGGCTCCATCACCACTTACCATCAGGTGGGTTCGTAGATAAGCACTGGCTTAGTAGAATATAAAAAAAATATTAAAAGTTTTTAGAAATGTGATTGTATTGGCAATCGAGATGTGTTTTCCTCTCATGGTATTGCATTACATTGTGAGAGCGTCATCCTTCCCCTATCGAGCCTACCCATTTATGCTACAACTGTACTACTAATATAGCTGCAGCATGGCTCTACCATGTAAAACTAATATTTTTAAATGATTACTATTGCAAATTATAGGATAAACTAAGGCCTTTCAAATAAAGAAAAACAAGCACATCAAAATAATTTTGTTAGTTTTAGAATTATGCTTGAAAAACACTTTAAATTTACAATATTATAATAATTGTATATGTATGTACATATTTTAAATAATAATTTTTATATAATAATAAAGCTTTTCAAATGAAAATTTTAAAGAATATATATTCAGATATACCTAAAGTTATAGATCATCTAGCCACTAACTGATGGAACAAGTTACCACCACCTTTATGGACAACTAAATCAATCTACGCTTTAAAAGTCCAGCTATAAGAGTAACTTTTTAGCACATCAACAATATTATTTTATGTACAGTGGCTTGTTATTTGATTTATATTGAAAATTTATTATTAATTATGAATAAAATATATTGTGATGTATTTAGGTATTTGTGAATGTAATATACATATGTATGTAATACAATTTTAGCATCACATCACTCGGAAAATATTTTTTCTTATCTTTAATATTTTTTATTTGTTTACTTTATTTTGAGATTTAAATTTTGTTGAAATTGCATTACGATGATGTATGTCTATGCCTAATTTAGTTTAGTTAGTTAAGTTAAGTTAAAGTTTATTAGATTTTTAGTATTACACATAGGCCTACTACCAACTACAATATAAAATATATATTAAAAAAGTACATATTAATAAGACTTACCGTAAGTTATATATGTTGGGAGGAGAAATTGTAAATTATGTTAGCGCGGGTCAGCTTAGATTTTTAAAGTGTGCATTTACATATTTTTGCACACTAACAATCCAAAACTTAGTATTATATGGTTTATTATCTCCATGAAACGCAAAACTAGCGAATTTAAAACCTTCTACACTCATACCATTTAAATTAGAAATAAAGTAATGAAATAAAATATTTTAAACATACGACTGTGTCTATAATTCTTAATGTTTCCAAAAATACATCAAAGCATTCTCAGGACGTGTCAAGCCATAATTATATTTATTTTCCACAACAAAAGTTACAAAATAGCTAGGTAAAAATATTTCTTTTGACAGCTAAATTTTTTCTCTATTTATGTTAGTGATGTTTGTGTGCCGGGTGATAAAAAACCGGTACTTCAAGCCATGGCAACATCGTCAAAAAACAACCAGAGGTCTTTTTCAATATTATAAGAATACTAGCTGTTCCCCGCGACTTCGCCCACGTGTAATTTAAGGTTTTAATTTTTTCGCGTGGAACGCTAATTCTTTTTCTAAAAATTAAAGTAGCCTAAGTTACTCTAATTTTTTAATCTGTGCCTCAAATCTTCAACACGCTATCCGCCATATTAGATGCCGTCGTGACGTCACTGATAAAGTAAACAAGCTATTGTGCTGTGTGCTATTTAGAAATTTTTACGTTATCATCACGATTTTTGACTTTTATTCTGCATTTTATCAGTGACGACACGAGCTGAACAGCATGGCGGCTAGCGTTTTCGCGTGAAAATTTAAAACAATAAATTTAAAGTAATTTTATGAACTATTCGGTTTTAAAAAAAATATTTAAAATTATAGTGGTTTATAATCACTCTAGGATTCATTTAAAACACATTTAAAAATGGGTGTAACACACTATTGCTTCCCAATATGAAAGCAAATTTACAGACTTTCACGTGAAAAATCGGTAACATTTACATACTTGTACCTTAATCACAGAGTACCTTTATATATATATACTGAAAACCTTAGTGTATTATTACATCATTTTCTAACCATACTGCTGCCAGTCTAGATGAATTAGGTCTGTGATTACCAAGCATAACTATTGATAACTATTATCCATTTACGACTTTATGTATGTATACTATATAAAAGGAGTCAATATACGGGCGACGACAGCACCACCACAAGTGAAACGCACCTGAGCACAAATCGCGCTAACAAAGTTCCGAAGTACTGCGGTATATATAGAACAACTCTGTACTAGCACACGGAGCGTGGGTGCTCCTCGAACTGTATACCTTGTCCGGTGAGAGATCTCCCATTTTCCTTCCACAGCTAAACGCTTCTCCTAATATAATTTCCATATAAATCAAAAAGAGACAAACCTATGGAAAATGTTGTAAAAGTTGTAAATGAGTGTACGTTTAAAATATCAAGCGTTTACCTATGGTCTCAGATGGTTAGCGCTCGCTGTAAGTTTCACAGTACGCGAGCAACCCGGGTTCGATCCCCGCCGGCACCCATGAAATTGCTAATTGCAATTTTAAGTGTTGATTTACCACGTGCTCGGTGGTGAAGGAAAACATCGTGAGGAAACTTGCGGTGTCTGAGAAATAAGAAAAAATATTTCGAAGATAGCGGGGCAGCGCGGTGGACACTTCCTGCCCTAAAACCCTCACAGAAATCATAGGAGGCCTGTGCCCAGTAGTGGGATGTATATAGGCTGTAACTTTAACCTATGGCCTCTTTATATTATGCTAACTTTTAGAGTAAGTACACTCGTATCTTGTCATATTCTAACAAAATGTCATCCATATGTAGTATCCATGTGTAGTATTATGTATGACATTTTTTCACAAGATATAGTGATTTCGTTCTCAATGTTTCAATAATCGACATCGATATACCAATTTTTGAATATTTATTTATTTTTATTACTTTATTATAATAAGTATTATGTCTAAAACTTACAAACTTACTTGATAATAATATGACTAGATTTAATATACCGATCATCAAGTAAATTGTTTTCGAAATCAAGTGATGATGATTATATTACATTGCAAGTATTCGTGTCGCAAACTAAAAAAAAAAAATAGTTAGTGAGGTAATAAATACAGTCTTGACAGTCTTACGGTACATAGCGAATTAGAGTTCATTTATTATCCCAATTTCATATAGTGATTTACCAATTGCTCTTTTGAAAATATAACCATCGAGAAAGTTATATCTGTTTGGATGAAAATATTTTGAAATTATGTTGTGAAGACAGGACTTTGATAATACCGTGTGGAGGTATCGTCAGAGAATCCACTACCTTATACTTATATATTTAGACGTTCTAAAACCCATATCGTTTCGTTAGTATTATAAAAGGCGACAGAGGGACATGAAACAGAAGACAGACAGCAGTATCTTCCTGATAACATCTCTAAATAATAAAATAAAAAGGAGTGGGCCTTACAGGAGTCGCATATGATGTGTAACATCAGACATATCGCCTTGGTAATAAGCAACATTAATGTTATATCCTGAAAAATGATATTTGTTTTTATTTTACTAAAATTAAAAATATCAATTGAGCAGAGACAGAAATCAACCTTAAAATTTAAAAGAGACTGAGACTTATATTTAATCGAATAATTACTCACTTGTATTTTTATCAATGATCTGCACTTTTTTAATACACTTATTATCAACAGTAAATACCTTTAATAATATAGCTCACACATATAAATTAGTTTATATAACAGCACACTTTAATACCACCGCGCACTTTCATTGATTAAATCAAATAGCGCGCGCTTCCCCGGCTTCTTGCTACATACTTCCATCCCTTTTCACGAAATCACTCCCACAGATTGCAGTGAAGCCAGAGAGAGGAAAGGAGTTACACATAAAAATGCAGTTCCTAAGAGAGGGAACTATGCCAAATATACCGCCTATGTGGCAATTTATGGGGAATGGTCATGTTACAGTATTTTATTTTAGATTTTAAAGTGACATTTTCAACAATATATTTTTCTACATTTGTGGTGTAAGATGAAGCTTTTTTTGATTAATCCTCATTGACGTAAGTATTAGGTAGGCAGAGATTACGGACTTCCAACGGCGTGATCCTGACACACCTCTCTCGCCTTCTTTACATCCATATATCTACGCATACACGCTCGTCGGTTAAGGGTACTCCTAATCTGGTCCATTTTCAATGTATCGCCGATTTGGTCGATAAACCTTCGTCTAGGGCGTCCCTTCCCGACTCTGCCGTTCACTTCTGCAACATAAATTTGTTTTGTCACTCTTTCCTCGTTAATTCTTTCTACATGACCAAACGGATTCCTTTCTTAATACTGGTCACAACATCATCTTGCAAACCACACTTTTCTCTTATCACTATTTCTCACCCTGTCATTCAAATTCAACCCTAGCGTACTCCCCATAAATCCCTCATAAATTCGAAGACTAAATGAATTTACCTAAAAAAACATAATTGTTTCACTAATGTTCTTTGATTATTGCACTAATGGATTTCTTATTAGTTTGTGACTAATGACACATAAATTGCGGTGTTTATGGAATGGAGAAAAGGCAACAACGAACAACCTACCTAGTAAATATTTATATAAAGAAAGTGAGAATATTAAAGCTATCTTAGTGCTTGTCCACGATAACTCGCGGGGACAGTAGCGAGCGCGGTCCCGAAATATCAAACATATAGCATTATATGCAAGTGATCACGTAAAAAACGCACGTGCGGTGGAAGTAGCGGGCAAGCTGTCGACTACTTTTTGTCATCTCCCACTTTAGGTAAGAATTTTCTATTAAAACTAAAAGTTCGTCATCCATATTTACAACCTCTCATAGACTTACATAGAATATATTGGCGTATAAACGACCTGATTGCCCGAAAACGCGACCCGTCCTACTATAGCCTGCGATTTGGGAGTATAATATATAAAACAAAAAATATTGATAGGTGTATTTTAAATAGCACATCTCAAAAATATTAATTACTAGCTTTTACCCGCGACTTCGTCCGCATAAGTTTTTTTGTTTTCTCCCGGCTATAAGTCCCCCTGCAACAATGTCCCACTATCGTGTTCCAGTCCTCAACTTCACATCAAAATTTGTTCAAAAGCAACCTAAGCTACATAATGGATAGCTCCGAATGTTTCCTTAGTAAATATAAAAAGTAAATAATGTAAATCGGTTTAAAATACTACTAACTACCTACCTGCCAACCCCCGATGTTAGACAGTGTGACATCCGTAACATCGTCTGCGTAGGAAGTACTAACTTAATGTAAGTAGTATAATAATGTAGGAAGCTAAAAATAAGAGGCCTTATTACTGTAGTACATTTTTGTAAACTATGTTCTTTGTTTTTCCCTCTCTGGCCAACACATGGAGATTCTGTGGACTTGAAACACGTGAGCAAGCCACGTATAATTGTCCGTGAGAAAAACAACTCTTTTCTAAATTAATGCCGGCTACTTTTAATGTTTGCCCCTGAGCTTTATTTATCGTCATAGCGAATGCGATTTTCAGCGGAAACTGTAATCTCTTAAACTGGAATGGCAAATCTGTCGGAATTATGGGTATACGGGGGATTAAAACGTTCTCTCCTTTTGCCATTCCAGTCATAATGATTGCTTTTACAATATTGCGACCGAGGTGTGTCACTTGCAACCGTGTGCCATTACACAGTCTTGGTGCATCTAAATTCCGCATTAAAAGGACAGGAACGCCTACTTTCAGCCTCAGTTTGTGTGAAGGTACTCCCGAGTTCTAAAGAATTAAGAAATTCTACAGGGTATGATGTTACTTGTTCAGTATCCATTACAGTGTCTACAGAGAGAAACTCAACAATATCACCTTCCACGCGTGACATAATTTGCTCGTTTATCTGTCCCACCATTTCATTCGTCGGCGCTAAAATTGCTCTTTCACATAACCAGTCTCTATTCCTCATATTAGTTAGCAGTTCGCTATAGACGAAGTTATTTAGATCATCTGGATTATGCACAACATTGCAGAATTCACGATCCAATGTAATCATGCCATTACCATCCTTTGCCATACGATCTTCTCCAATTTTAAGAAGAGCAGCAGCATATTGTCCAGATTGTACATCATTGTGTAGTTGCACTCTCATATTTGTAGACAGACTAAACGTTTTTACGTGCACCCATAACGTTGACGCTTTTAAACACGCATTTATTTCATCTGCAGGGGTGCCTTTAGTGATAACCGGCAAAGTCTGTCTAAAATCGCCCGCTAAAAGTACCACCATCCCCCCCATGATATTTGGATTACTCTTGATGTCTTTCAAAGTCCGATCTAGAGCTTCAATTGCTCTTTTATGGGACATAGTACACTCATCCCAAACTAATAATTTACATTGCTGCAACATACGTCCACGCTCGCTGTTTTTACTTATATTACAGACTGGCATTTCTTCATGGGCTAAGTTTAATGGCAGTTTAAGCATCGAATGTGCCGTTCGACCACCATTGAGCAGAGTGGCGGCTATTCCGGAAGAGGCAACTGCTACAGCAATTCCTTTATCTTTTCGGATTTGGGCTAAAAGCAAGTTTAAAAGAAAGGTTTTTCCCGTGCCTCCGGGAGCATCCAAAAATAACAAACCACCTTCGCCATCTTCGATTTTTTTGAAAACATTGTCAAATACTAACCTTTGTTCTGGGATCAAACGTGGAACAGACTCTGTCAATTGTTGTTGTAAGGAAGCAGTATCGTAATCTAGTTCCCGTATTAAATCGCTACTGATTTCCTCGGTTCTCTGTGGTCTGATCATTCCATAATCTGATAAATCCTTTCCAGAAATTGTTTTAACCTGGTCTTCAATTTTTGTCAGACCCTCATTGTAAATTAAATCACTGTACGTGACATTGGGATTTTGCTCTTGTAATCTGTGCAATATATCGTCGGTCATATCATTTTTGTATTTATCCCACAATTGTTGAGGATTTGAAAGACCACATGTCGCTACTAATACAGCAAATAGCTCTCTCATCTTGCCTGCTGATCTACATTGAGCAGCTTCTTCCAGTGTCACATCCCAATGGTTGTCATTCTCCAGTAATCCTCTTGCCTCACATGCCTCTCGAAATGTAGGATAATCTTGTGTGTTGTATTTTTTTAGATCATTGAAAGAGGTAGGTCCGCGCACATGGTGTAAAAGCATGCGTAGACAAAAACATTCCATGTTACTAACATGAACTGTATAAACTCGTCCTAAAGCATCTCCAGATTTGACGCCAGGCCAATCGTGAACTGAAGTACCTTGAATGCGGCGTTTCCAAGTTTTCCTACTTGCATCCCAAGTATAATACCTCGGCACCTCGACATAAAGAAGAGTTTTTGCAAACTCATCTCTGATACAAAGATCAAAAAAAGCAGTGAGTGTGGATTTTTGGCGGAGTAGTTATTCGTTCGTGGAAATTGTGTTCATTAAAATAAACGCGTTCACCATTTTCTAAATGCACGCTGAGATGTGTCACGGTGGGATGCCTTTCGTGCAACGGAAATGCTAACAGACGCCACACGGCTTCGTTGCTGCTGACATACCGACCAGACTGATAAGTTTGTACCTCATCTACGGGATTCGCAAGATCAGTATTTCTAAAATTGAAAATAGCTTGATCACTACCCTTGTTTATATATTTGCAAATATATTTGATGGCGCGTACTGAACTGCATGCCTCAACATTTATGTGGGCGTTAAACATTTTTGATAAAATTGGTGAATAGGGGACTACCCAACTATTATCAACCGTAACGTAGCTACCATTTCGGAGCTTCACGGTTGCTGTTCGACCTCCGTCTGCTGGCGCTCTTCTACGATACTGCGGGTATCCGTGGTCGTTGTGAACGGTCTCTTTCACTAACTTGCGAGGAAATTTTTTTGTGCATTTTCCGTCTTTCATGCAGTGGCACTGTGGATTTTCGGGTCCGCATGGACCGTGAATCATATTTTTTACAATAATGTCATGGAGAGTCTTGTCAATGTTAGGATCCGGTATTTCAGCGCTGATTATGTTATCTATTTGATCGGGTCGTAACTTATCTTTTAACCACAATAATATATGGACATGTGGCAGTCCACGTTTCTGCCATTCGACAGAGTACATAAAGCAGCGCGCTTCTCTGAACACTCGGCCTTTATTAATCACATCCATTAGTTTTTTAACTTTTAGTCTAAAAACTCTTGCGACTACATCATGTCTATCTATTGCGCTTTGCCCCGGCATCAACTGATTGACTATTTCGGGCCAGGCTGGGTTGCAAGTAAAGGTGACGAATAAGTCAGGGCGACCATGTGTACGCACATAAACAAACGCGTCCTGAGTATATTCGTGTAAGTACCGCGGGCTATTTACAAATGAAGATGGTAAAATGACCATACGACCTAAGTTATTTGGATTTAAATTAGCGTCATTTGCCACAGCGTCTTGAAGATGGATATAATTCTCTGCTCTTAGTTTAGTTTGATTTAATGATATGTACCGTAACCTCTCGCTTTCAACTTTAACGTACATGTCAACGTAAAACTGATTGGCCAGTTGCTTGCATCTTTGTACAATGTTAAAGTTGTTTTCTCGTATCATCATGTTGTAGGCATAAAAATCCATGCATGAAACCTTTTTGTTATGCAAGGGAAGACCTGTTACAGGATTAATTTGAGGAACCTGAAAGTGGTACCCCTCTTGTCCCTTACTAAATATGATCGGATATTGCAACGCATCATAAAATTTATGAGTATCAGGCACCCTGGTTAATGTGTCATCTCGGGCCTGTAAAACTATATCACGGAAAGCAAACTGTTCGCCTGTAACCAAGGCTGCGACTTCATTTATTAACGGTGCATTATACCGCCTTTCATGTTCCCCACTTGGTGTGCGATCGGGGTGCATCACCAACCTATAATCCTCTCCCGGCATTCTTTCTAGTGCTGTTTTGAAAGTATTGATAAGGCGATTATGTTCATGCAACATTCTCTGGATTTTTAAAACAGTATCCCTTTCGATTCCTTGTATATTTTGACACCTGCGATCAGCTTCGTTTTTTTCATCGCCCATGAAATAAAGTTGCAAAAACTTTGGTTGTTCATTATTTGCGGGAAGTAAGGAACCAATCCTGTGATACACCTGTCCTTGGATGGTAAAAGTAGGTGAAAATCCAGGCATTACGACCTCCTTATCTACACCAAATGACGTCATCTGAAAGCAAGAATTATACTTTCTAATCCTGCTTAAAAACCGGCGCGATTCGTTACTGTCGTATAAAAGTAAAGATTTAAGAGGTTCCTCTGGCTCGCCAAGTAATGGAATTTTAACCTTTCCACCAGAACAGCACATACCTGGAGTTTCTTCTTTCCATTTCAGTGCTTCACAATATCTGCATTTTTTATCCTCTATTATATATATATATATTCTCCCAATGGTAACCAATCGGTGATTAACATAGTCGATCAAAGGGTCATACTCAAAAGCGGCACCATTAAATGCCTCCCACGTACTCATTGAAAACGTACGTCTTCTTTCTGCCTGCCGTTCAGCATTTAAAAGACGTCGTCTTTGTGAATCTTCGTCAGTCTCTGCCGCAATCAATTGCGCGTGACGTTCGGCATCTAAAACTCGACGTGTCTGAGTCTGTTCCACTGTCTCAGCAGCTCTTTGAGATGCGTGGCGTTCAGCATCCAGGGTCTGACGGGCCTGAGTCTGCGTAAACGTCTCAGAGGCCCTTTGAAATGCGTGGCGCTCAGCATCTAAGGTTTGTCGGGCTTGAGTCTGCGTATAGGTCTCAGAGGCCCTTTGAGATGCGTGGCGTTCAGCATCCAGGGCCTGACGGGTCTCAGTCTGCGTAAACGTCTCAGAGGCTCTTTGAGATGCGTGGCGTTCAGCATCTAGGGCCTGACGGGCTTGAGTCTGTGTAAACGTCTCAGAGGCCCTTTGAGATGCGTGGCGCTCAGCATCTAAGGTCCTACGGGCTTGAGTCTGCGTATAGGTCTCAGAAGCTCTTTGAGTCGCATGACGCTGAGAATCTAACATCTGACGCGTCTGAGTCTGCTCTTCAGATTCTTGGCTTCTAGCAACTTTTGCAGTTCGAGCTCTGCTAGAACTACGGCTTAGATTGGATTTACGTTTGCGTGGCATATCGAAAACAATAAAACAATAATTAAAGATTTTTAAAATCGGTAGTTTTAAAAACTACAACGTAAGACAATTTTTTATAAAAACTTCGATAAAGCAAACCTTTTTACTTATAACCTAAATATCTAAATCAATCAATAACGTATTGAACCTAAACAACTATGCACCTGACAAACCTTTTATACCTAAAACCTAAATTAACTAAATAAATTCAAAAATATTGAATTTATGTACCACACCACAATACACAATTTTCTTCACTACTGGTACTACCTACTTATCTATCAAAACTAACATAAAAGTACTATAATATAATGACAAAATCTATTACTAAACTAATTTACTACGAACTATAAACACTGGATGTGAGCTAAAAAACACTTAACCTACACATGAATAAAATTGAGAATTAACAAATGAAAGCGACTGCAAAAATAAAGAATAATACGTATCTGAGTAAACCTAGAGATATGAATGATTGGTTAAGAAAATACCTACATCTAACAGCTACCTTAACTACCTAATAATAAAAATGTAACTAAGTACTTAATAAAAATACGAAAATGACGTCAACTTGGACTCAAAAATAATAACCTACCAAATATTTATTTAGATATCTAAAACAAAGGACTAAATTAAAGCTTACAGACCCTACGCGTAGACCGTAGTACCTATTTCAACTCGGAATTTAAAAAGAACGTTTTTAGCTAACCAAAAATACGCAACGAATAGAGTTTCGTAACGCAATATTCCAATATTCACATACGTGCGACGACGACGTCTGCCCTCGTGCGTCTGCCCGCTTGGGTAGGCACAGTTGGGCACGGCCCTCCCCTCGCGCCGCACCGCCTCTTCGCTCGGCGCAGCGTCTTGTATTCACTACGACGACGTATGATTTGAAGGTTTGCGTTATATTGAATTATTTTCCCTCGTTGAATAGTAAACAAACTAAGTGTAGGTGTTATAATTTCGGTGATGAACTGATTACCTATCCGTTTCTTTGTCTAAAATGAGTATTAACTTATCACTATGATTGATTACTGAGCATAAAGTTCGTATAAATGTCTATCTAATTACCTCCTCAAGTTTAAAGCGTAGCTAGTTATGTAGTACTATATTAATTCTGTGGTGTAGGTAATTAGATTTTATCTGTATGTAATTTAACAGTCAGTTGAATAAAAAATCGTATACAAATCAGATCAATAGCTATGGCGTAATGTGATTCTAGACAGAGTTTTAATGTTGTAGATAGGTAGCTGTGTATAGGTTCCTGTGGGAATGAGATATTTTCCCGAAGTAAAAAGTAGTCTGAATTTTGGTACCTTCCTACCCTATAAGTTAAGTAGTGTGATGGTATGTCGCTAAGTTTCGATCCAAGTAAAACTGTTAAATAAAGACAGATGCATCAAAATTTTATAATAAATTCCCTAAATTATGGCGCCTACCGACCCTCTAAGTTAGAAAAGTGATCAAATACTAACTTTAAGTCTTAGTAACACTCATTTAAAAAAAAAACATCAAAATCATTTCAGTAGCTATGGCGTCATTCGCTTCTTGACACGATCACGCTAGATTTCGCTGTATTTTCCCGCCGTAAGAAGTAGCCTGTGTCCGTGCCTAGGATCCTATCTTTATATTAACCAAGTCTTATAAAAATCCGTTCAGACGTTAAGGCGTGAATGAGGTAAACTTTTAAACCAAACTATTAAAAATCACTAACTTAATTAGTTTTCTGCCTACTGCCTACGCCTTAAGTACGATAGCATGAATATTAATAGCCCATATCCTTTTCTAGGTTACTATCTATCACCTAACTAAATTTCATCAAAATCCGTTCAGCCGTTTAGGCATGATAGAGCAAAACTCCCACCAAAAACCATAAAAAAATCACTAACTCAATTTAGTTATCTGCCTACTGCCTACCCCCTAAGAACGATGGCGTGATTATTTATAGCCTATTATTTATAGCCTATTATCATCTATCACCATACCAAATTTCATCAAAATCCGTTCAGCCGTTTAGGCGTGAAAGAGGAACAGACAGACAGACAGACAGACAGACAGAGTTACTTTCGCATTTATAATATTAGTATGGATTTAAATTGCACACATGTAGTTTATTTATAAATAAAAAACGGTGAATATTGCTCAACTAATAACATTGATATAAATTCAAATAATTAGAAATGGATATTTGTTGCAATATTAAAACTGCATCTTGCTTTCATATAATTACACCATCTATAAAAATTCATAAAATGCAATACTAAGTGCAAAAAGGTAATAAAACAAAGTTTGTTAATTGTCGACAGGAGTGTATAATCACTAGGTTTAATAGGCGGGACCAAGGAGAATATAATCATTACGTATAAGAGGCGTGATTTCCATAGTAAACGTAGACAGAAAATACAATAGACAGCGGGGTCGCGTCACTGCTATTCTGCCTTTCATTCACACATCACAATGCTGCCATTTTGGCAATGTTACCCACAAAATAGGGAGCTTTTGTTTGTAAAGCGTACGTCAGGAATTCTAGGCCACTTCATTCACATTTTATTAGGATAGGATAATTAAAGCAAATGCAACTAATAGGTAATTTTGTTAACGAATAAATATTAAATCATGTTTATTTGGTAACAAAATCATAATAATTACACTTAAAGGTATTGGTAATTCCAATTTGATTATAATTGTCCTTGAAATAAAACTAATTTAGGTTTCATGATGTATCCTTATTTCAAAATATCTTAAAGCCTCAGTTTTATTGTGAAGCATTCTGTGATTGTCAATATAAGAAAATCTGTATTGATGGGATCTATCGAGTTAAGTAGATTGCTATACTTTTCGTATAGTAAACGTTTTCGTTATTATTATTATTATTATATGAGCTTTGGTCTTAAACTCTTCAAGAATTTGTTCCAGATTTTCCACTTTTATTTTTAGACGCCTTGTTTTCTGACGAAGAGCGTTCACCATTCTCAAGTTCTCAACCTCTTCTCCGACAGATTTTGCTGCTATTTCAATATCTTGGTAAGACTTCTTGGCGTAGCCAGTGCCTGAAACAGAAAGTTAAAATGTTTTAATCCATTAAACATATTAGCGACCGTTATTGATCGCAAACAAGAGATTTTCAATTGTGTTCATAATGTTACATGTCACCTATACCATATTCAGCAAAGCAAAATACAAAATGTAAACAAGGAAACCAATGGCTCTCAAAACCAACGACAAATAATGTTGTGCGTACTATCAGCTAATCAGTCAGTGAGTAGTTTAGCTTCTTTTACATATACAAATTTAAAGGTAAAGACACTACAGTTTAGTCTCTGGTTTTAGTGTTCAACCCCTTAGCCCACTTGTGTGACAGTTAGGTTTTTTTTTTATAGGATAAGGGTGACAAACGGGCTCACAGTCTACCTGATGGTAAGTGGTTGCTGCGGCCCATAGACATCTACATCTATCCTCTATTACAAATCAAAATGAAGATGCGTTGTCACCCGTGAGGACTAAGATGGAATGCCTCATTTCCATGCCATGCCAAATTTAAAAGTGCCTGGAGTAAAGGCGAGATCATTTAATAGACTGCCAGTTCTTCTTACCGGTTGCTAAGGTCAATTTCTTTTTATTTTCGAATCAATTGGGAAACTGACAAATAAAAAAAATCAAGATTAATAACTTTGAATGATATAACAAGCACAGGTATATTAACACATGCAAATATATAGTATAATACATTAGGTACTCTCGCTGTAATGAGGGCTAATAATCTTCCACTCACCAGATGTCGCTAGTTGTGACTAAGGTAAAGTTTTTTGTTACACAATGTCAGTTAATTGAGAAATTAGTTTTAAATAATAGTTTATCATTATCTAGAGTATTATATTAATACACAACACAAAGCGTCAGTAATTTTAATTTCTAATTTTTTGCATTTTATCTCTTTTTTTTTTAAATCGTCTTTTAGTTATATTTATAGCTTGGTTTATTCATTTCTAATGTAATTATTATAAATTATAACTAATAATAGAGAACGAAACCTTAAAGATTACATTTTCCTAAGAAATTATCGTCCCCGCTATGAAATCTGTCAAATATTTTACCTCACTGTAAGGTAGCGCCGCCCTGGTGGCAGAAAAAGTCGTGGATGCCCTTATTGTAAGCGTAAAGGTCGTACCTCGGGTAATTATATACTTTAGCTAGCAACATAGATTTAAGGTTATAATATCGCTAATAATGATAATATCAATATAATTTATAGAAAAAAATTACCTTGAACATCGCTTTAATTAAAACTTCCATGTAAATCGTGATTCAGAAAGTTATTTAAATACAAAAATTAATTAAATAAGTTACTTACGGGGGAAATGTAATGCCTTCAATTTTTCAGTCACTACGGCCTTTACAGCCCATAACACTGTACGATACTATGATAAGGTATAAAATCAAATATTTTTTTAACTTAAAACGCACAATTATCGACTTTTATTTGCAAATATTTTCTTATACAAAATAATAAATATTGAAACACTATGACACTTGTAGTGTCTTCCCCTTTTTATTAACTTTTTGTGCTTATCATTAAATTCTGTAAATTTTTAACGATGGTGCAATTATATTCAAGCAAGGTTCAGTTTTTTTTATATGGCAAAAAGTACCCAATTCTAACTATTTGAAGTAGTATCGACGTTATACGGTGAGCGATCTTAAACAATTTTTTAATTTCTTAACTACATGGGTGCAGTTTCAATAATTAATATTTTTGAGATGTGCTAATGAAATACGTTTGTCAGTATTTTTTCAAAGATACATGCATATGCAGAACAGTGTGTTTCAATTCTGTTATATATGTATTACGGATCGCCGTAATGCCGTGCGAAAAATGGAACAAAACGCGCTGGTCTTGCTTTTAACTGGAGGCAAGCGGCGGTGAGGAGGAACTTGTACTTTTTCTTTTCTTGCTGGTGCCTTTTCGGTGGCTGGAGAGCGACTGCTGACCCTAGCGG